GCCTCGCTGGTGTCTCTTGTTATTATTTTCCTCTCATTCTGCTGCCTTTTCTTTTGCAGAGTCATGAATAATTTGTGCCTACGCCTTGTTGCTTGATGACAGCTGTGCAGTTGGTTTTGCAGTCTCTTTTTTTCTTCTTTTCAGATCAGGTGAATAATGAATAAGCCTCTGCAACAAAAGAGCCATGTCCTATATGTGCCCTGCCTCCCTTCATCTGTCCCAGCTTAGTTGGCCTGTCAACCTCTGGGGAGGGGGACAGGTGAGCAGCAAAGTCTCTCTGGTACAGGAAGTTTCTGAAATGAAATGGGCATTTAGAATGTATGAAAACTGTTTGATTTCATTAATGTTAAGTGTCCAAGAACTTACCATCGTTTAACAGCATAATAATCAGTGCTTGCTGTTAGAAATCGTCTCTCTCTCTCTCTCTCTCTCTCTCTCTCTCTCTCTCTCTCTCTCAGGTTATGTCTCTGTAACTCGTCAAACCTGTGTGAAATCTGCTGACTGCGTGAGAGCAAATACCACATTATTATTACAATATACACAGCAGCTCTGCTCGCCCTCAGGGAAACAATCACACTGGCCCTCTCTCTCTTCGTGGCGTCTTCCTTATCTGCTCTCTCGTGATCAATCTGTCCATTCACCAGGTGTCCCTGACTCTACATATTTACTCTATAGTCAGCTGTGTGGGCATGACCTGGATCATTTTATTGTTATCTGTGAGGTATTGCGTGTTGTGTTTTAATCAGATTCTCTCCTGGCGTCTTCTTTTGGCCGACATGGTATTTGCAAAACTAATTTTCCCACCATCTATCTGACAATAAATGCCTGAATAGTCAAGTCCAGAGTGAGAATTCATCATGTAAAATACAATTATAAAAAAAAAAGAAATCAAAATCAAACAGCAAAGTGTCTCTCTAAAATCTCTCTTTCATTATTCATGTTTAATTTTCTATTAATAATGAATCATCCAAAAAACCCACAAAACCCAGACTGCTGAACTTTCTAATTGCACAACTATGTCTGTCAAGAGAAATTAATCCAGTCATACCGCTGGGTGTACGCACGCGTGGCCGTGTGCACAGATGTGTGTGCACTTATGGACCAAGACGCAGGCCTAGATTTGGAGCATTTAGACTGCAATGCTCTGATTACTCGCCTACTGCGATCGATTGAGCCGTCTTCTATTCATATTTGATATGCCTCGGGGCAGTGGGGTAATGCTTGAAGGAAAAAATACACCCCGTGCCCTTGGAGGAAATCTGGTCAGCCTAATGGCTCGTTTGGAGATTGTTTTGCTCGGAAAGCTTCTCCCTGTGATTGTGCTTGAGGAGCGCGCTCTCAGAGGGAACCATGCAATGGGTCCAGCCTTCTGATTCAGTTTCTTAATAACAACCCGCTGTTCAGTCGCGAGAGAGTTGTAAATTGAGGTTTATGTCAAAAGTTGAGTCAAACTCCGCTTTATTAACATCACACCGTTTAATGGGGAACGATAGGGATGAGCAGCGAATAACAGTGCAAAGATAAATACATTGATAAGTGCTGTTAAATAGTCATTAGTGACAACAAAATGATATGCTTATTCTACATAAACTATAAAACTAATGAGATATGTAAAAACAATATTCAATCAAATGAATACCCTCGCGTTCTTTTGTATTGTTTCTGTCATAAACATATATGCAATGATTATTTCTGGGTAATATGAATGTTGATATGTGTGTATATGTTAATCCCATGTGAAGTTTCTATTTGATCATGTTAAGAGACAATGCAATGGTGTGTGTGTGTGTGTGTGTGTGTGTGTGTGTGTGTGTGTGTGTGTGAGAGTGTGTGTGTGCGTGCTTCTTAACTGGTTTGGCATGCATAAGGGCCCGTCACTGGGTTCACTGGGGCCCATATAGGCTACTGGTCAGGTGGCTCGAGGCTGCCTCAGACTGTTTAAGGCACTTAAAGGCAAACTCATCTTGATTCCAGCAGGAGGACACGTGTCCCCGTGAGCTCCAGCAGTCTGAACACAGAGTGTGCGCTTTTCTGACTGCAGCATTTGTCTCATGCCATTTCAAAGATTGGGGGTGTGAGGGGAAGCTTATTTTGTTTTAAAGAGAATAAATGTCGTGGCCGTGCAACACAGCGCCAAGGTGCTGAGCTCCATTGAGTCTTGCTTTAAATGAGCCCTCCCTCTTCTCCTTCCCGTTGTCTGTTCATCTCGGGGTTTAAAATATTCAGGCCTGAATGTTGTACGAGGCTTTTTTTTTTTGTGGGGGGGGGGGGGGGGGGGGGGGGTAAAAAAATCCTTGTGAGTCAGTGATTTCAATCAATGTTGAAGGAAGACGATTTACTGATTGTTCCTGTTTTTTGTAGCTTTGTTAGAATTATAAAAGAGGAGATGGTGAAAGAATAAAATGATGACAGCGTACTCGCATAGAGCCGTCAGGTTTAAAGCATCGATGTAAAACATGATGGGGGTTATTAGAAAATACTAGGAATGCTTTTCTGACAAAAAATTGATTCATTTGTTTCATATTCATGGCATATACCTTCTGATGATGACTGAATGGAAGACGTTGTTTGTCGCATTATGCACCATTCTTTGGGCCACTTTTCATAAACAACCTGATTTAATTGTCAGTTAATGGCATTTATTAATTCCTGATTTCAAATGGATGTCCTGTAATCCACCCAGAGGATTAAACCCATGCCTGCTCATCGCTTATAACATTGTAACTATTTCTAACTCCAGCAGCAGCAGCCCCCCCCCCCCCCCCCCCCCTCAGTGGATCGCAGCTGCTGCATGTGGGTGCCTGCCTGCAGCTTCCTGCCAAAACTCGTTTTTTTTGGGCCTTCTTATTTTTAAATAACAGCCATGAGGGTACAAAGGCATCTGGTTAACGGTTAAATCTGCTCAGACTGTTTAGGGTTCAAACACATGGCTGCAGTGGTCAAAACAAACAGGAGCCGCGGTCGCCTCTGGGTAAATCACAATCACAGCAGCACCGTGGTTTCACGTCTTGGCCCTTTGTTTGTTTGTTCGTCGGCGTGTACTAATTCACCTCAACACTTGTTAACCCTCCTGTTATTGTTGCGGGTCAATTTTGATTTATTGTAGACTTGGACAGGTGGTATACAGGGCAGGTGAGGCTGGATCCAATTGATGCTGGTTTTATCTGAACAGAAAATATGTTCCATGTATTATCACCAAACACTGAATTAAATACAGAGGGAGCAAATATCTGACTCTCTATAACTGACAAGAACTAACACAATGTTCATTAACAAAAACAACTCAGCACGAGGTAGGCTACTGCAGACTCAAGAGCGAGGAAACGCGCATTCTAAAGGTCTCAAAACTGAACTCAGCAAACACACCTCTTCACCAAAGTTTATTATAAAGTCTATCTATATATACTGTAGACTTGCCATACCGTTATATATGTATATATTTACATATGTATATATAAAAGAAGCAGAATGAGGCCAGACACGCTTTCCATCATGACTTTAGTCTCCACGCCCAAATTGAAATGACATAATCAGGGTTATTTCTCAAATAAAGAAAGATCTCTCGAGAACCAGAGAGTGTTTATGCAGGCTGAGAAGCCTTCTCGTCATGATGAATACACTGAACTTCATGAGTAAACAGGTAACGCAGAAAAGCAAGCCCAGACAAGAAGTGTCATGTAGTGATTGATGCATAACGATAAGAACCGTTATTGAGATAATGATTTTAGATCATATCATTCATCCCTCAGAGCCCGCCAGATACAGCCACAACAAATACAATTCGTACAAATATATAATATAAAATATGATAAAGGTCTGTAAAGATTATTTTAGTTGTTCAAACAGCTCAAACTCATGCAAAAGTGTGGTTTTACAGGTGGGAGATTATAAAGAAGCAGTTTAATTCAAGATAAATGACTGCCAAAGCGAAATGAGTTAATGATAATTACATTTATATTATATAAAATAGACAAGTCATATTGTTAAATCTATCATTTAAAGTGCTATAATTTGCGGGGTGAACCCTGAGTTGAATGACCTGTTTTAATGACTGTGAATATTTAAATACATCCTTTATTTGGAGAAAGTCATTTTGAATCATTTCACTTTCAGATTTTATTGCATTTAAAAATTGTAATAACAAAAACAAATAATTATTTTCTACTTGTCTTTCCAGGGGGAAAATATTCATTCGTCACGAGAAAAAGTTGATTCTGACAATAAAATGTGCAAAATGGAAAATTTGGTGAGTAGGCGGTAACCCTCCATGTTTATTAAATCACACAGTCTGTTTTGCCAGCATGTCTCCAAACTGAAAACAAAATGCCTCGATTCTTTGAAGAAGCGCAGATTTCCATCTCTGTTGGCTTCAAAATCGTAGATCCGGTTATTTAATTGTGAGGACAACTATTTTGGGTTCAACGCCCTCTGACGCTGATTCATATCAGTCAACAGATATAACGTGATCCATTCATTTGATTACCGTTCTGCACAATTCACAGCTTATCTCTGGACCTTTATAACAACCAGCAGTATGATGGTAGAATAATTAGTGTCTGAAAAATGTCCGTCAGAGCAAGTCTTACTCGTGAGATTTCTTTATTAAAATAAATAAATATTGGATGACATAATTATATTTATAAATATACATATATATATATATATATTTCCAACGCAGTCTTTCATTAAGTTTTTTTACAAAGTGGACCAAAATGAGTCTTGATCCAAGAAATGTCCTCAAACTGAGCGGTTGGAAAGAAATGTCTTTGTCACATGTCCTCACTCCTTTCAAGAATAATGAGTCAAATACTAAAGTCAGATTACATGACGTCATGTGTGCACGGGTCGCTTCACTTCAGGCCGTGCTGCGTCTCTTTGTGTCTCCTCAGATCCACTTTTCTCTGGAAACCTTTGCCGCAGAGGTCGCAGCCGAAAGGTTTGTATCCGGTGTGCTTCCTGCTGTGCGTGATGAGGTTGGAGCTCTGGCTGAACGCTTTCCCGCACACCTGGCATTTGTGTGGCTTCTCACCTGGACAACACAATTAGGAAACACATAAATAGGTTATTTTTTTGTATTGTTAATGAACATAAGCTGAAATATATCGTGGACATCGGGCTGATTTGGGACTTGTACGCGCAAGTTACGCACAGATTCTTTAAGTAACACTAGAAACCACACTTAAAAACAACACTGTATTATGTGTTGCATTGAGGTCTGCCTTTTCTCCACTTGCCTGTGTGGATAAATGTGTGTTTCTTCATGTCGGACTTCTGGTGGAACCTCTTCCCGCAGTACTGGCAGGGGTACGGCCTCGTGTCGGAGTGGATGAGCAGGTGCGTCGACAGAGTGGACGACCTCTTAAAACTTTTACCGCATATCTTGCAGTCGAAACTCCTTTCCTGAAACGTGACGCAGAAGCGGGGGTTAGTCATGACTTCGAGTCAGCACGCCCATCCTGACCGAAAAGCAGGCTGACAACAACACGCAGAAAATATGCGAGCTCCAGGAAGCGGTTTGATGTGTGTGAGTGCGTGTGTGTGTGTGTCTGAAGTTACCTGAGAGTGCACGGCTTTGTGTTGTTCCAGGCTGACCCCGTGTCCGAAGGTTTTGCCGCAGATTTCGCACGCAAACGGCCTGATACCACTGTGCGATCTGCGCACGTGGACCTCCAAACCGTGCGGAGTGGAAAACACCTGGTGGAAAGAAAATAACAATACAGTTCAGGTGAAAATATAAATATATTTCGTGGTCGGTAAACAGTTCCAGTTGTGAAATCTCTTTAAAATAATCCCGTCATGGAGGTTAGAGGTCAGCCAGCGTCTTGAAGTCACATGAACCATTGGAATCACTTGTTCTTCAAGGCAGCACCAATTTTTGCTATTTTTCAAAAACTACTTTTAGATGCAGAAAATGTGCGTGCGCCTCCATCCTCACCTTACTGCACTTGATGCACTTATAAGCGCCATTGAGGATCAGACTGGAGCACAGCAGGTCAGATTGTGCCTTCACGTTGTGGGCTTTCCCGTTCAGGCCTCCCTCGGGGAACAGCAGAGCAGCAGTGTGCCTCCTGTAGTCACCGTACGTCTCCTCGTTCAGGGTCCGGTCTGCGTACAGGGCCGAGTAGGCGCTCCTGTCCCCATAGAAGGCCAACGCCGCCGGGCCCCTTTCCACCTCCATGCCTGGGTGGAGGTTATGCTGCACCAGGGGCCTGAGCCCCGGCGCCTGGTAGCTGCTCCAGGCGTACGGCCGGAAGGGAATGGCGAAGGGCTGCGTCTCATCCACCAGAGGGGAGAGGGATTTCTCAGAATCCACTGGAGAGGGGGACAGAGGCCAGATGAAAATTTAATGAAACTGGGTTAAAGCGGGGCGTTTCCGGGAGCCCAAAGGGCCCGATGGGACAGAAGAAGTCATGCAATGTTCTTTCAGAGAATTCCCAGATGATGATGCCGTTGGGGAAACCCTAATATCAGATCTAAAGGAGGAGTACTATTAATAAAGTGATTTAGGCCTAAATACAATTATAAATAAACAAGCAAAACCCAAATAGCTTAAAAGTAGACTAATTAGCTGAAGAAGGATCATTTAAAATGTGACAGCGTTCTTATAGAAATCATAGAAATCCTAAAACATATAAGAGTCGTCTACCACCAAGGCCCCACTTTTGTAAGGATCGTCTTAATTCACCAAACAAGTATTTAATTATTGAGTGCTGAGTAATGAGAAGGTGGCGTGTCTGTGTGCCGGTGGTGGTGTTTACCTGGGGACGCAGAGGGGGACGGAGGCCTCCAGAAGTCCTCGTAGTCCGGGGAGCGACCGCACAAACTGTCGGCGCAGCTCAGCGGCGACTTCGGGGAGAAATCCGCAGCGTCGGCCAGGTGGGAGTCCGGAGAGAGGTCGTACCTGTCCACCGACCCGTCGGAGTCCTCTTGGAACTTATCTGCTTCTGCGGGGACACACGGAGGACAGTCAGCATCGTAACGAAAAGGAAGTGAGGGACATCTGATGTTTTTAAACTCACTGCACAGCTGTACTTTCCTGCACTCGTTGGTTACTATTGGAGGTTTGAAAACTGATACATGATAATAAAAGGCCACTGTATGACCCTTAAATTAAAATGATGACATTATAGACATCATTTTAAAATTAAAACAGGATTATTACGTGTGCAAAATTACAAAATGGTAAAGCCACTATTACCGCATCTATATTGCAATAACCTAAAAAACAATAGTGAGGAAATTGAGAATCGAGATGCATCACTGTTTTATGTTAACGTGAAATCTCAGATTACCAGCATGTAAACATCACAAATTCCGCTTTTGATTTTTGTTTCAGCATTTTTAGAAAATAATTGAATGCTTATTTCAATAAACTCAACATTTGTTTGTCCTTTTAACTGTGCAATCAGGGATTTACCATTAGTATGCATGCATTCCCTCAGTGTGTCATCATTTAATATGCCTTTACAATAATAATTGTCAACACATTTGCAATTGTTATCATGAAAATGTGTTTCAGTGTTTATAGTGAAATGGTACAAACATTGTAACATCTGACACAATTTAAGAAGACCATTTAAAAACGGAATCATATCGCACACACCTGAGCAAATGTGCGCCAGTATTGTGTCCAGCCTGCTGTTATCATCCTCCAAACTCCGGGGCTGGTGGTAACTGTGCGCCTTCTTACTCTTCACCATGAAGGAGCGAGGCATCTCTGATCTGAGAGCGGCCGAAGAACAGAGAAATAGTCCAGCTGTGTGTAGAGAGGAGACCTCGCGGGTGGACGCTGCTGCTCGCTCTGAACCCTGCAAAGACTCGATCTCCACTGGTGGAGAGGTGCGGGGTCCAAGTGCTTTAACAGATGTCAACCTGACGACGGAGCATGCGCACACCGTCTGCCAGGTGTTGCGCGGACAGGTGTCACTGCAGAGACTCCTCCGCTCAGTGCACTGGAAAGAAAAAGAGACGCCTGTAGTGTTTTAGTCAGCACGTTGTGCGTTTTTTTTTTTTTACAGGTATTAGGAAAACCGTCTACAGCGGGGGCGACGTCCTTTCACCTCAACGCAAAATCACTCATTTCAGAACTTCAACCGAAAACACATGACGAGGATTTCAAGAATAACACCCGTGTGGAATTATCAGCAATTGATTTTATTGAGACAATAAGCGACTTTTACATCTGGTTCCCCCTTTGGATCAGACTGCAGCTCGTGTCTCAGAAGGAGCTCGTGGCAACCAGGAGAAACGAGACAGGCCTTATCAGCGCCTTGCTCACACTGACAGGGGGAGAGGAAACGGGGAGGCGCACCCCAGGGTGCCTGCATGGTAAACAAAGTAATAGTGCAGGGGGAAACTCTGAATCAACAGTTCTCTCCTGCTTAATACAGATCTTAATCACTTAGAAATACATAATTTTGTCATTATAGCCTGGTTTCTCAGTGCGTTTGGTGCAACCCCCCCCCACCCCACCAATAAAACACCATATAATGATATGCAATAATTGTCAATAACTCAGTATATATTCTCACATAAAACGCACGTAAATTGTGTGTAAATCTCAGGCTCCACGAGTCCCCACACGACAAGGTTTGGTAGAGCTTCGTCCCGGTCTGGTGGTCGGTTGGGCCTTAGGCTGTAATTATGTGACAGACGCTCGCCGTCGACACGCCCGCGGTGAAACAGTTTCAGGTTACTCTGTAGGCTACTGTATGCTGAAAAGGAAGAAGCTCAAAAACAGACAATTTGTTGTTCTGTTCGGCGCAGATTGTAGCGCAGGTTAGGTGTGATTGCGCACCGAACAATAGTCGTGCGTCCTGGTGCCTTTCATCCTCTGCAGCTGCAACAAGTAAATCAAGACTATTATAGTGATGTAGTGAGGTGGACTTAGATAATCGCGAGGCAAAGAACCATCAGAGTTAATGCAATCATTAATATTTAATTGGAGTTATGTTACTATCCTTCTTTTATTTTTGATTTTAGATTTTACCAATGGGTGTCAACATGTAGATCATGTTTTAGATCACAGATCATATTCTACATCCACATGTAAATCCGCTCAAGTTACTTTTCCATATCTGTGATGTTGTACAATATACAACAAACCATATTGGAGACACGGACCGGTTTTCAACCTGGACTCATTATCTTACTGGCTCGCTCTGGAACAGCTGCAGATCGCACTGGATGTGCACGCTCACCATCAGAACAGCGCTTCGCGGCTTCGAGGCAAAGCATCCTATCAGTACACGGCGGGCAGGAAATCAAAGCGCCACATGCCAAGGCTCGATTAGACGGCCGTTGCATCCGGACACCGTGTTGGTGGAGATATGAAGCCCGAAAAACGATAAAAGTAGAAGCAGGCCGACACTGCTGCCCGGAGCGAGCCGATAGCCCGACAGAGAGGACTTTAATGCCGCGTAATACCAACTGTGGCATCCTGCCATGAGTGTGAAAAAGAGTGAAACAGATCCAGTGCCATATTAATATTAGCAACAATAATAATACTAATAATAACAAAATACTAACTTTGAAAAATAAATAACAGCATTTTTTAAATACATTTAACAATTAAAATGTCATAGTTTCTGCATAATTTAGTCAAATTTGTTTCCCTTTCTATTGAAACTCAACCTTAAAAACACATGAAAACACCAAATGACACATTCTGTAATGAGTCATACATTTAAACAAAAGGATCTCATTTAAAATTTAAAATCATGATCTAAAACATCTTATCTGGCAACAGAACCAGGGGGCGTGTCTGTTTGGCAGCAGGATGAGTTGGACTGAAGATGTTTGACAACCGGCCTATTAAAATGTGAATGAACTGGCACTGTGCCATGAAATGCATGTTCAAAGTGTCAAGCACCATCAATCACTGCAATATAAAACATTAAATTACTCACAGTACTTTGCTGTCTAGGTCCAGGACTTCGAATCCGCCCACTCCACTGAGATGACACTTCTGTCTATCAAATTACTTTGACCATCACAACTATAGACTTTACGGAGAACTCAATCAAATCGGCAGCAGTAGCAGCAGCATTTGGTAATAACACAGACCTGGTGAATGTTTACCAAGGCCTGAGAAAGAGAAATGCTCTTTTAAAAATGTGGTTTTCTGCATGAAATGATTGGTAGTTGAGGCTCAGCTCTGGAAACCGCGAGAAATCACTTCCTGAAAGCAGTCAATCTAAGCAAGAATCTTTACAGAGGAAGGCAAGTGTTGAGACACAACATCCCCCTGAGCTCACAGTCATCTGAACACACTGCAGTCTTCTGCCTACTTAAAGAAATTAAATCAGTCAAGGAGTTCATTAAACGTTTTTATTGTGAACTCATCACACTCACACACACTCACTCACACACACACACACACACACACACACACGTACATACAGACGGACAAACAGACACACACACCACAATCTCATTTAGTCTCCAGAGTGTGCCAACTGCTCCATAGTGTTGCTGTGCGTGTCCTTACTGCACTGCAGACTCAAAAAGTGCCATAATGTGTTCCTCTCCCGTCAAACAACACTCGTTCATCAAAAGGGACATTATCACCACCAACTCAACAGTCTGAATCTTTTCCCGGACATGACGCGACGAGGCCGGGGCCTTCAGGAGTTAGCGTTCGATACAGACATTCAGAGGAATTCAAAAGTCTCACACACCCCGGGGGTCCTCGCTGCATGAAATGGAGTGGAACTGGCCTGCAGGGCGAGCACAGTGCAGAAGATAGTGCTTACTTTGGTAACACTAGACGGCTCCCGATTCTCCCCCAGTTTGTGTTACAAAGTGTGTATATACTATGTTGTGTGATCTCAGCTTTATCTCCCAGTTTGAGTTCCCTATAGGACTCCATCCATCCCACGTGCAAATTTTGTGACTCACAAACCTGACAGACATTACTCATGTTCGACTCATCAGCTCAATCGACTCACCGCTCATTTTGAAAACAAAGCGGGGACGCTTTCAGAGAAGTCGGTGCAACAGCAACATAAACCTGCCCCCCTCCCTCCTCCCCCTTTTCTGCCCTGACAATGAACTGCCCCAATAAACTGCTTCTTTCTTTTTCTCTGAACAGTAACTTGCCATTTGTGTTACCACATTAAACTCATACGTCCCTTTTTTTTCTGCATTTGACTATATACTCTAAACATCAGATATGCAATAGATACATCATTTCAAGTTCAAAAGGAATTGAAAAAAACAAAAACATAATACAGATTTACATATCTACAAGTATGCAGATGTCACATTGACCTCGTGACACACTAGCCTAGTGAAAGGCATGCGGCATGTGCTAAGGCCATAATGTCAACATGAAGCTCGAGCCAGCGCTGGCCGACACAATGATTTGATAATAGCTGCTGACCAGGACAATAGATATGTATATACACACACACAGCGCTTTTACAATTCTGCCTCTGCGTGATGGACACTTAGTAGTAACGGCATCAATACGTGTTTGCTGTTCATTTATAAAATGCTTTAAAAATATAAAAACACGTTGAATGAAGTGTGTTATATGACATAAAAGGATTTATTGCACAGTCTCTTGCTCTGTGTTGTACCTACAGGAGGGGGTTAACCCCTCCACCCCGTCCACAGTTTGATACACTCCACATTAGCAAAGTCTGAGGTCCACGCTGATGGTCTGTCAAAAAACACAGAGGCGTTTGCTGCCCTCAGGAAGAAAACAAAAAGGGACGTAAACAAAACTAAATCCATAATTGTGATTCTCATGATATGAAATGATGATGCATTTCCTTTCTGAACTCCAGATCCAGGCTTCTCCTCTGAAATGGCTGCTGGAAACACCTCCTCTTCCTCAGTAGGTGCCGACAGCCTCAGTCCCGACTCTTCGCGGCGCTCGTCACACGGTGGTGGACTTGTGGCTGCCGCTCGGAGGTACAGAGAGTCGCAGGGACTCCTCGTCCTCGTCTTCCTCCTCCTCGTCCTCATCCTCCTCACTGCTGGTGTCCCCGAGGTTGGGGCGCAGTCTGATCCGGCCCCTGCTGCTCTGCTGGGCGTCCAGGAGGCTCGGGCCCTTGACTCCATCTTCATCTGAAGACTGGTAAGACCCATCATGCCCCACGTAGTGATTGACGATGTGGATCCCATCAAAAGTGGGCTGATTGGCCAGGCCCCTCTGTCCTTTTAAGCAGCAAATCTGTGAGAGTGGGCACGGTGAGTATGAGGAGCGACACAACGACTGAAGACATACATGTGTAACTTGTGAGGGAGGAAACAAGGACGGACTGATATGACATGTGCAAACACAATGGGTCAAATGGCAGATATTCAAACAGCGTCAATGGCACAAACAGTCTTTCACAAATCCAACATGCATGCACTAGTTCAACCTCAAAGCAACAATGTCATTCCTAAGATATGAGTCGTGTCCCAATACTACAAACCAGTTTACTTAGTGTACGGATCTTGCAGCTAGTATACAACAAATAAATATCATTCATCATTCTGTACTAACAGGAAATGAAGAAGGGAGAAGAAGTGCACCAAGAAATGGTTTCGCAAAGGTGCAGAACTTTATTATGGTTAATAATTTGTTTCCTTTGTTTATTAGGACAACAGTGTCAACTGCACACAGACATCTTTGGAGAGTCACGTCTCCAGTGTGAATGCACTGAAAACCTCCTCAGAATGAGTATGTAGTACGGATTGGTTTCATGGGGGAGGGCCACCTCCATCTGGGACTCTGTGGGAGACGGTGCTGAATGTGTCCCACTGAAAGCTTCAGAAACGTGGCCGTTCTCTGCTGTTAATCAGGGGCGGAAGCTAACCCAGCGTATGTGTCAAACCAACAAGTTAGTCCTCATCCTGCAAGTCTTTTCCTCTATTGGTGAGGCGTGAATCTCATCTTTATGCGCATGTCAAACTACGGTTGCAAGTGCACGGCCTGCTTCACCCTCTCTCTGTTGCATCAAGGCAGAGTGAGCCGCCCTTTGTGGCAGATGATGAAAACACACATTGCTGTTGAACTGCAGCTGTGGTGGATGTCCCCCCCCCCCCTCCATCAGCTACAAGAGGGGGCAATGAGATTATTCTGGCTGCACTATAGACTTACGCGGTTAGTGTTTTCTAACAGGATGTTTGTTTGAGGACTTACTGGCTAGTTCGACCATTGCACATGAGGTCGTCTTAACTACCGCCAATTAAGAGCAGTTCACTGTCACTTTTCTGTGGAAGCATCCAGGACCGCCCCCCCTCCCCCAACGCTGTGAAGTAAACCGACCCGAACGGGGCTAAGGTGGGAGCAACGTGATGGCCAGTGGAATGAAGGTGACACATGGGCACCAACTCACCTGGGTTGGTCTGCCACGCAGCAGCCAGACATGTAGGAAGAGACGCCTTCAGAGGCCGGTTCAGAGCACAACACACGACAAACAAAAAGAACAAGCCCACGTTTACCTGCGTCTGCCCTCCTGTTGTTGCCAAGCAAATAAGAAAATGGAAATTGTGATCTAATCAAGATCTGACTGGCTGCAGTCAAGATTTCCAGCAATATGAAGCAGGTTTCAACTCAAATTATGAGGGAGGGAGGATGGTGGGACTTGAGCCACCACTCGCTACTCTCGGGTTTGCTTTGCAGCAGACACTCGAGAGCATGATTCATAGCAGGCCACTCTGAAACCAAAATGACCACAAGGCCAAACCAAGTGAGAGGGGAAATGACTGTGACTGCACTGACTTAATATAAACCGGAGTGAAAAGAAACTAAATCAACTCCGGTTTATTAAGCACAACCACCAACTGCATCAGGCATTAGTTTGTTCTCGCTTGTTTTGATCTGCTGGAAAACAACGAGGAACTCTATCTGCGTTTAAAAAAAGGAAAACATCTCAATGAAGACACAGTTCTGAATAATTAATACGTAGAAACTAGTCATCAGATTTTCAACCCGTGACATTGGACCTTCTTGCATAGTACATGCATCACAGTCGGTGACGACTAAACAAGGAATACAGATGAATTGATTCATGATCAAATCTGCTCTCATCACTTCTTTACTCTCAACGTGCATGGTTATGATACGTCTCGGCTCTACTCTGTGATCAGCAGGGTAAAACCCTCTTGTAGGAACATCTGTATAGGTATCTGCAAGAGGTGTGCGCTGTCAACTATGCACAGGAAGTCTCTGGGTGTAGTTAACACTTCTAATCTGTCAGCATCAAAGAGAAACCATATCTGAGGCGATGTTGTGAAATCTTCTTGAACGCTTGATCAGAGAAATGGAAACGGCAAAATCTGGATCTCTACCAGAAAAAAAAAAAAAGGTAGCGCGGTTACTAATGGACCTGTTGCGAGTCTCACCTCGTGTTTTAGCTCTGCTATCTGGTCTTTGAGGTCGTGGATGTACTGGCTCGAGTCGGTGTGGTTCAGCTGGCCTTGGACCTTTCCTTCTTCTTTCTGTTAGTAGAAAAGAGACACGTTTAAAAATAAGAGACACAAGGCGTTCCTGAAATACAGAGGGACGTGAAGATATACATTTTAGCATCTGCAGAGCAAAGTGGTTCAACGTGGAACAAAATGATACAAGCAGCATTCATGTAAAAACACCCAGGGTTCAAATGTTGTGAATTACTGTATAAGCAGGACAAACACCAACAGGTACTAGAGCCCCACTATTTAAAAAAAAGACGCCTCACAAAGTGACAGATGTCGGGGGGGGGGGGGGGGGGGGGGGCGACGACACAAAAACAGTGTCATATGTGCTGGATTTCCTCCTGGGGCCCTAGGGATGAGGCAGGTTGTTAGCTTTAGCAGTTAAACAGCCCATGTGATGTTTACCTTCCTCACTGAAGACATCTGCAGGCATTGGAGACAAACACGGATGCTGCTTCAAACCTCAATCACACCCTCGAACCAGTCAGTTCTTTACAGTGAGACCAGTTCAAACCACAGCCCGGCAACACTGAGGCAACTAAAAAAAAAAAAAAAGGGAAGATGCGTGTCCACAGCAGGGGTGGGGTGTCGAGGTAGAGAGGTGAGACTGAGTCTTCTCTGGCTCGCCAACACCCCATACATACACATGGGGGTTTCTGACTCCTGTGGTGGGGGGGTGAATACGGCGGGTCCCAGTAGGCTTTTTTTTTTTCCCTCACAAGAAGTCTAAACAAGTGAGATTATTCCAAGAACCTACTGTTTTTGAGGTTTGGTCGCTGCAAAACACTGCACCAATAAGGGGCCAGGCAGTTAATAAGACTTTCTGGTGTTCAGCTGTGTGGATCAACAGGTGTCAGGCTGTGCCCGGGGGACGCCAAACGTCTCAACAAAAATGTCTCCCTCACATTCCTGGCCCCTCAGTCTGCAGAGCTCTGTTAAGCTCTAACAGACGGAAGAATAGAAGGAAGAGGAAACTACGTGTAGTGACACCAACCAATGACTAAAGTCAGGCAAAGTGACTTTGTTTACTTTAACCAGCAGCAGTGAACTGAGCAGCCGATCATCACAAACATCACATCTTGAGCAAAATCATGGCTCAAAAAAAGAAATGCCCGTGTTTCAGTTAGCACATTCATATTTACACTGTTTGTCTCCGTTGCAACAACCGACAGCTTATTTTTGTTAATCTGCAAAGATGCCTGCGAGGGATGTGTGAAACTGTATGACTGAAGTTTTACTATGACTAAACTTTCAATGGACCAATGAGCTGCCGCTCAATGAAGACCAGATACCATTTGTAAAAAAAATGACCCTTCCAAGTGATTTATATAGAATTTTAAACTGTCATTAGTTTGACTTTTTGTTTTTTTAGCATATTTAACATGTGAAATCAATGCAATGTATTTTGCATAGCCCAAAATGACAATCTCTTTACCGAGTAAACACGAGGATGTCCTTTAGTGTCTGAAACATTGAGTATAAATCTATGAGCAAGCCATAGAAACCTCAAAATAGACCATGCATGTCACGTTTGGTAGAGCATCTGCTTCAAGACGAGAAACCACTTCCTATCAGCCCAGAGACTCTGGAGCTGTGGCCTTCAGCCGAGGCCATGACTGACAGTGAAGGAGTCCTACACGTAAACCTCTAGACGTCATAGTCTCATTGAACGAATGTTTTCCATCAATACTCAGTGGTTATTATTCATTTGCATCTCTTGATTAACTCTCTGCAGGATGATCTGTTGAGGACGATAAGGCACACACAAAGCTAATCTGATCATAAGGTGACTTCTCGCATCATAACGCAAGCTGCAGATGTTCACCGCCAACACACGTCACTCCATCTCTGACGGAGGAAAGCAAGAAACTGATTTATTTTTTCTTTTCTGGTAATTGAACCAGTTTTCACCCACAACTTATAGAGCAAGTAACCAAACCACAGACTGAGAAGCCAACGGTGACACAGTGATTTCAGCTCAGACAGAAGTTAAGATAGAGTTAGCAGCCTCTGCATCGCCGTTCTAGACGCCGATCACTCAATAAAAACAGGGGAAATAAATGAAGTGTAATGCTTCTGTGCGTTATTGAGAGCTCATTTACGCAGATTGTAAAAAGCACGAGGGTGGTAGTGGTAACTTTGGTGTTGCGTGTTGATGCACCATCACTTAGTAACAAAACCTCAGACCACATTGTGTGATTGTGTGTGTGTGTGCCTGTGAAGGTTAAGAGGGGGAGGGTTTCATACTTATAAATAGTCTTCAGGTTAGACTCTCTGAAATACCTTAAACTTAAACGGTACTTTACAAAAACCTACTCCCCCGGTCACCAATGTTTCCAACAGACCCCCCCCCCCACACACACGCTATACTAATACAGCTGTGTTTTACTATACTGTCATTCATCGTCCTTATACACCAACAGCAGGTATAGATGTTGACAACTACATTATTACAGCCATTTATTGAGTGCTAATGTACTTCTTATAGATGCCAAATAGGGCGACATAAAGTAAAGTGTTCCAAATTAAATAAATCAGTGTGAGCAATGAATACTACTCATACTGTATTTAACCATTCTAGCAATAATGATGATATTATTGTTGTATTTCTTTGTCTTTTACTATAAATTGTTTATTTTATTTCTTCCATGGAGCCTCCCAGCGAAAGCGGTATCAATGTGAAAGTGCTCCTTGAACTGCTAACTGAGAATCATCAGAACACTATTTTGCTTTCGCAAAACAAAAACCCACGCGATCGGCATCTGCCTGTTGCTGCACAGCTTTACTCATTTGGAAAGTGAGCCGTGTTGAGCCCACAAACGAGCCTCAAACGTACGTATGATTGTATTGTTTTTAGATAACTTTATCGGTTATCAATCAGAGCTGCTGCGTGTCGGCAGTGTAAGAACAGGCCTGTATTTGTTTTGGTCACCCTTGTTGTGTGTGGCGTTACATTTGTTTGGGGATAAATAACACTGGGCTCTCTCTTGCTTGTGGAGACTGGTTCATACGAGGATGTACGTTTTATGTGTGAATCCGCACCCAACTTCATTAAATGTCAGTGTCTGAACTGAAAAACTACAATAATATAATCGCATTTTTTGTAGAGCAGCTCCAGACAATCTTTCTTAATATCATCAAATATTACATCGTTTATCATCCAGATTTTAAGTCACAAAGAGACGTAACATTTGAGCAGTTTTAAAGGACGAAAGGATGATTGGATTTGCATGTCTAATGTCTGCGCCACTTTACATATTCATGAGTGAATGAGCAATGGTCAAAGTTAGAAAGAACATGAGATAAGTCAGATAATCGTCATTGGGGCCGTGTGGGTTGATCAGATTTCATTGAAACCGGTGTTTCCTTGGAAACATAAGCAAGCAACACTTCAACTGCTATCAGATCAGATTATCTTTCAATTTCAAACGAGTGGGAGGAGCTCAGAATAAACCACAAATAAAGAAATCTGTCTTGTTAAATAAGCACTTTAGTTCTAACTTAAATATGTCGGGACCAGTAACTCAGAAACGTCTCCCTTCCATCTGTGAAAATAAGAACTCATGCGCGATTACTCCTGGATGGGACAAGTCTCTCTCTGCCTGAGGGAAGTTTAAATGTGTCAAACGTTCCAGACGTCTCAAAGTGTACTGGGACTTTACCTGAATCTCAAGCTCTGAGATCTGTTGCTGGAGTTCAGCCATCGCAGCAATGTTGTCAGCTTCCCGCAACCTCACTGCCATCACCTCTTCCTTACTCTGCAGATAAAAACAAAATGGAGCTAAAGACGGTGCTCTGCCAAAGCCCCGGGGGGGAGGCGTGATGCTGAAAAGGTATAAAAACACGTATTGTACAACATTTGAGTATTTTCTATTTTTGTACGCGTGAATCATGCAGGTGGAATTTCCTGAGAAAGAGAGAGCAGTTTAAACAGAAATCTAGCAGCATCTCCTGACTTCTTCAGAAACCATCAAAATATATAACAAGACATCTCAGCCATTAAATGATACATTATGTCTAAATCAAGCTTAAGAGAAAAGCAGACCGTGAACATAAAAAACATCAATCTATAATTCTATTTTACACAATAAGAAGAGAAGTATTGTGGATCAGCAGTCGCACCTTGCACTCAATCTCAGCTTGTCTCCGCTTGATCTCTTGCAGTTGCCCAAGCAGGTCTTTATTTTGCACCGTCAGTGTTTGCCCACACTCCTGGAGACAGCGACTCTCCTGCTCCGCCCGTCGCAGCTGGTTACTGTGGATCTGATTCTGTGTGAGCACAGGTTGTAAAAAAAACACAACAACAATATTTTGACTTTGATAAACAATCAATTCCATCCAAAAAGATCTGAGATACTAAAATGGGATGATGCCCGCACACTTTAGTTTGTGAGTTGTTTGGAACAGATGCCTGCTGCCCTCTGAAGGATACTGTGTGACAGTACAGGTCGAGAATTCACTTTTTTAAAGCGTATTTACTGTTAATTAGAGAAACTGTAGCTCCGCCGTACTTACTAAACTCTCCATACTACAGTACGCCTTTTGATTTCCTATGATCATTGGCATTATAAGGCCAGTAAAGCTAAGAATCTGAAAATGCTGGACAAAAATGATCAAAAGAATAATTGCTCCTTATCGGGTGTATGTGGTTAAGAAGCTGCTGTGACATCTGACCTGTGTCTCCATCTCCAGCATCCTCTGCCGTGTCTCCCGCAGCTCTGCCTGGGCTTCGGCCTCACGTAGCCTCACGCTCATCAGCTCGTCCTGCAGCTCGCTCAAGGTGTTCTTCCTGGAGCTGTCCTTCCAGCGACCAGCGGTGCGTGCCAAGTGACGCTGAGGAGAGGCGTTATGGTCCGTCACATTTCCATTACTTATTAAACAGATACACTTTCCTTTTTCCATTTCACTGACGTGGACATTCTGCCCTTTCAAAACGTCGGACAGCGATAATGTACGCAAATGTTACATTCTAGACACCGAACCTTTCAGATTTGTATACGTAGACTTTCTTGATGACTGAAGAACTGTTTCTCTAATGTGGTTTTTACACACCCAAGGAGTCAGGTAGTTATATGCTCCTCCCACAATGTGTACATTGATTAAGGACACTCCTCACCATGACTGAGCCCATCGGCGTCCTATCCTTATCTTAAAGCCAGTTGAACCCTTGCTATCCCTCAATACCCTGGAGAGGACTGTCCTGTCATTAAATGATTTGTTTTGGCTTCGAGTATTTACAACATAAATAATGTATTGACATGACATCGACATGTTGGCGCTCACCTGCCAGTGCTCTTCCAGGCCTCTGACTTGCTGCCTCAGCTCCTTCAGGCCGGTCAGAGCCTCCGCCTCTCTCAGCTTCACCCCGATCAGCTCCTCTTGAAGACGTGCCACATTGGTGTCATCTGGTAGCGACGTGTTCCTCTGCACAAGGAGTGTAACAATAACATGTTGTAGAACTGCAGCAGTGGGTGCACAGGGACACAAGCCAGGTTAATGCAATCATATTGTATGTTTGCGAATATTAGGCAGAAACACACCTTTTCAATATCCAGGATCTTGTCTTGCATCTCCTTGAGAGCGCACTGAGACTCCGCCTCCTTCAGACGGGCCTGCACCAGCTCTCTCTCCAGCTGCAGGACGGCCTCCTCGGAGTACCGAGGGGCTCCCTTCTATAACAGGACATGTGCGTGAGCACGGACAGCAAGTACACATGTTGATGCCCGAGTGTCCTCAACGTTGGCGTTTAATGAAGAGATATCGTGATACACAATTAATCAAGAATTTAATTCCCACAGGATTATAGAAAAACAGACTTTATTATATAGTTGATTCACAGACTATTTTTTGGCCCTGCTCTGTTCTTCTGGGAGAAAATACACCTCAATGCCTCTTCACTCTCCACTACTAAGAACTGAACCCTAATTGCAGTGGACACCAACCATTTTGCCTTTCACTTTCACATCAATATTTCATGACTGCTCATTGTGGAGCAACATAGCAAATTATGTAAAACATTGCAACGCTTGCACATTATCATCTGGAAAGCAACCATCAATAATTAAGAGCGTTCAGGTCGATGGATATGCAATGAGAGGATTCTGTGAACAGGGTGCCGTGTGTGAAATCTGCTGGCCTGTGAGACGACTGCTTGCATATTCATGAATGCTTTTCTGAGAATGCAGTTGGACAGTAAGGTGGCTGAACTGTGTAGTACTCCGTGTCCCAATTTGAATTCATGCATGCCAAAACAGATCATTACCCAAAGCCGATGTGCAAAGTGAGAGAAGCCCTGCTCTGCCACTGCTATGTCATGTTTACAGGCCCAGGTGTCTAGCGCAACACATCATCTTGAAAGGGTCGGCCTGAGCTTTCGGCACAACACAAACTGATTGGGGGGAAACATCCCAGTCTCAAAAAGTCTCAGCTCCAGTCAGACCGGACGGGATCCGAGCCGGTGCAACCTGCCAGCTGGGGACTCGGTGGCCCCTCCTTACCGCGTGCGGCTGATGCTGCCTGGTGGTTGTCTTGGCCTGCTCCAGCTGAGCACTGGCCTCCTCGCTCTGCTGTTTGACTGTGGCCAGCTCCCGCTTGACCAGGTACAGATCCTCTGCCTCCTGAGCCCGAGTCACTTGTCCCTTAACATAACCAACCGAGGAGGAGGGGCGTGAGCACGACAAGAAGTGAGAAAACCAGAGGGGCGGAAAGGATGGGCGAATCAGAGGAGACGAGGGATTGGATTTTCTAAGGACATGCTCAGTTCTAGCAACGTGTCATTTACATTCCAATTCCTTTGCTTTCTTCAGCGTAACGTGTGATTGTCTGACCTTTCCTGACATGCCACAATGTGCTATTTCATGCACTTATTTAACAATGTTATCGGTTATCACAATCTGGTTTAGTTCTTAATTCAGAGAATCATTAGAGTTCATTAGATGTCCTTCATTGTACTAATCATGAGCATGCACTGCTAAAGAGAGAGAAGGAAGTTGCAACATAAGTAATAGAGAAAAGAGAAAATGAGGAATATACCTGTATCAATCTATCTGCCAAGGAAGCACTTTCCTACAAAACAGAAATATCAGCAAGAGACAGCAGAGGGAGACAATCCAGAGGACAGTTTAAAGCACACAACAACAAAAGAACAATTGATTGTTTAAGAGAAGAAACGCAATGTTCATTTCCCATCCAGACATATCTGTTTACAGACTGTAGAACCGTGTTTACATTCGGGGGTAGAAAAGGAACATTGCATGCAGGTGTGGTGAAAAAGGGTGCAAATGAGCTGGAGGCGGTGCAGATAACAGTGACAGGTTTCAGACAGGAAGAAGCACAGGACAGCTCCGGTAGTAAGAGAGAGTGAAGTCTGGTGGTACGGCAGCACAGTCACAGTGTTATGGAGCTATGTGTTGTTTAACTGAACAGAAGCTATGAACTTTGATGTGGTTCATGTAAACTTTTGAACAGTTCAGTTAGTGGAGAGTTAAAAAAAAACAAAGGCGCTGGGAGCTACGTGACAGAGAGCTGCAGCCCCCGAGCTGGTTGTAAGTAACAGACTCATTTAGACCATGGTGTTCCTCCCTGCAGGCAAACATGGCGTAGCCCTCGCTATCCATGGCAGACCTCATGCATGGTGCCTTCACCTGGCAGCGGTAGCGCTCATTCAAAAAGAGACAGAGAAAGTGCAACTTGGGCATGCAGTGCTTTGCATCGACTTGGACAACATCAAGCCACGGCCATTTTCCCCTTCCGAACAGGCTTGTTAAAAAGTATCGGCCTCGGTTAGTGTCTGTTATTCGAGCCACACAGACAGTCACAGAGACACCAAGACAACCTCTGATTTATCTGCGATCAGAAAAAACGTACCATGCTGTACCAGCCAACCAGTAACGGTTTATCATGGAAATGGACTTTCAACTAATAGAGCCCAGTTAGTGAAAGACAAGACTCCTTCATACACAAGAGATGCACGGCGTATGAGCAGACACAGCTGGATGGGGTTAATGTGATGTTGATGGGCATTGTCTGACTGGTTATTCTAGTGACGGAGCGCCTGTTACAGACAACGCTGCACTCACTTTCTCTAGTGTGTCTATCCTCTGCTTCAGGAGCCGGTTCTCTGTCCGCAACCTCTGCAAAACAAGACATTGCAAAAATCACATGAAACAAAAAAAAACACAGTGAAGCCTTCAGAGCATTTCTTTTAACCCCCGACAACCTCCACGCACCTTTATCTCCACCTGCTCCTCCATCTCTTTAGATTTGATTGTAGTGTATTCTTTCTCTAACCTGAAAAAAATGTCAGTGAAGGACGTTAGCGCTCACTCACGACATGAAGACAGAATACAATCTGTCTAGCGTGGGCTGGGGTACTGAAAAAAAGAAATAGCAATGAAAACAGGGCCAAATATAAAACTTCTGCAAGAAATGAGACCTGCAAAATGTATTTTCTAAGCCACAATAACAACAAGATAACAAATACGTTCATAGGTTTCGTATCCTTCGTGCCTCATGGTTACAGGACATTACCGTGACGTCCCAGGTTCGATTCCAGCCGTGGGACCTTCGTTGCATGTCATAACTTTCTCTACCCCATTTCCAAAATAAATGCATAAGCAAAAGGAGAGGTTGGTAGGTGTTGATGAACTTACTTTTTCATCTTCTTGGCATTGTATTTAACTTGATAAGCAGCCAGGATGACCTTATCCGGCCCGCTGTCCAGCTGGTGTGGGATGACCCTCTGGAAGTGCTTGAGCACAATAATGAAACAGGATAAGTGTCACACACACGTAAACCAGCTACTTTCAAATAACTAGGCAGCGTGCTGTCTTAGTCAGACATCAAAGTTCATCAGAAGTCAACATGTACGCAGCAGGCACGGGTCGGGAGACACGCATGCATCAATTATTTGGGTGTGGTGGAGGTTCCTAGACCAGAAACTCTGAGCTGGTTAAATGACAAGTCATGTGGAGATCCCGGCTGATATACCTGTAACATTCCCTCCATGTCGAGTTGGATGAGTTCGGTCTGGTTCATCTGAAGGATGGCCAGTCCCACGCGGAAAACTACCTCCAGACCCTGAAGAGAGAGATCACCAGTAATCACTGAGGAGTCATCTTTTGAAAGAAAAAACAAACAATGTTCAGCGTGAAACCTCTTTTAAAGCGGATTGAGGATTTAGGATGTGTTACAACAGGTCTCAAGGGAGTGACGAAACAACTCACAGCCACTATAAAATGTGGAATGTAGAGTTTCCGTTTTCTCCACCAGGTGGTGCTAACGGCTAACGGATAACCTTTCCATGACAGTTACCTTCATGTAATCTAGAAATGTAGACAATCTCAAAGCAGTGGAGGAAACTTTAACCTCTCCAAGTGGAAACACTTGGCTTGAGTGCAAGGGGTTTGCCGTTCCTTTTTTAGATTTCAAATCTGCATACTAATTCCTCACAGAATAAATATATGTAAGCAGACACATGAGATAATTCAAAGATGGTGGTTCTTTTAATCTGACCTCACACATGAAGATGTCAAAGATCCTTGTGGCGACGGGCAGAGGGAAGGAGGTGAGGAAGATGGTGAGGAACCAGGAGGAGGCATACATGGACGTGTGAAAGCTCTGAGCCTGGAAATGCATGTGCAGCTCCGGCAGTTGTTCCTGCGAGGCAAAAAAAGGGATTCACACTGTTATCACTGTACCAGGGAATGAGATTAGCACCTGCCACCCGTCTAATCCAGGGTGAATGTTGGCCGTGGTAAAGGTTTTAGGTCAACCGCCAGCACCGCGGTACATTTACTTATCTTAAGAATGGCTTTTTAAAAATAATATTTCTCAAATTGAGTCTCGCACAACTCACTTAGTGTTTAAGCATTCAACATAGATTTCAGGAATGGCCGTTGGAAATGTTAAGTTACCTGGATCATATACTCAAACTGGTACATGCAGAGTCCCAGCTCAGCCATGCTGGGTTTGAAGAGCTCTCGTAATCTGTAATCCTGCATCAACTTCACGAACACGCAGAAAGCCTCCTCTTCTGGCATCTAGAAAAAAGATGATTGAAATAACAGGATGAAGTCAAACCTCAAATTGTTCTGTTATTCACTAAAACATGTCAAAACTGTTTGCTGGAAACTGGTGAATCAGTGTGTTTGTGTGCGCGTGTGGTGAAGATTGGATCATTACCTGCATGAGCAGCAGTCCTACAATGAATGCACTCCCTTGACAATAGCCAACCTCACGGTCAACCAGAGAATATGCCTGAGGTAAGAGATTAGCTTTGGATGAGTCTCAATGATATCTGTACAAACTTCATTATGCATTTACTGTACTCAGTTATTTTCCTTAACACGACTTCCTGTTAAACACCTCTTTTTTGATACCTGTACACACGCTTATCAGTTTATCTGCAAACACAAATGGTGACCTGCCTTCATGACATTGAAGAGCACTTCCTGGCCCAAGCTGTCTTTCTCTTTGAAGAATTCGTGCTCGGGATAAGTGCGCGCGATGTCTCTGCGAATCAGCTTCTCGCAGGGCGACGTCATCTTCAGGAGTTCGGAGTACTGATCCTTGACGGGCATGTTCTGGGCGTTGCACAACAACTGCCACACTATTGCCCGAAAGTGGTGAGGAATCCCACTTCTGACAAGTTCCTGTGGAAAAGAAGAAGAATAGATGATTGACGATAATCTAGCTGTATTTTAAAGACATTTATGAGGAATTTAAAAGAGCATGTGGGGGGGGGTCTTTGTTCATTTTTTGAATGTGGACAACAGTGTAAGAGAGTAAGGAAACTCCTCGGCTTCATGTGGAAAGAACAGACACTTGCATTTCTTACAACAGGATACAGCCTCGGCCATGCTTTGCGCTCTAGTACTTATCATCCCATTTCAGCACAGTCTGCATCTCATAACAATACCATTTCCACTGACAAATATAATCTTGTCAGTGAGACACTTTGCAGAGCGATTTGTTTCCATACATTACTGCTGATACAATTTGATTAAGCAATTTCCTGTGCTGACAGGGAACACTGGTCTTTCCTGCTTGTGTGTGTGCATCTGGTCGGTCCAGGGTGCATCTGGAGCAGAGGTCCACCCACACAGGCTTTCAGCAGGGAATCCCTCTCGCCTCTCAGAGGCCAGAGAGAGACAAACCAAGCTTTGTGCTGGAACAATGCACCGTCTCATGTCTTCACTGCATCTCAACGAAAGCTGCTTTCTGAGGCGCTCCGCCACGTTAACACACTTCTTTGTATATTCTAATCAATGCTCCGTGACAGGCGACAACATCATCAATGACTTCAATGTTCCCTGTTTTCCAGAACTTGTTCGGTGTAGATGTGCAGGAAATCACGTCACAAACATCACGTTTAGCCATTTTATTCACCAAATGAAATATATTTCTCTTCAGCTGTCGTGGGTATTGAAAACATGAAGACATCAGGGGTTTTGCTGACAAGTGCAGAAAAGTGCTTTGCGCAACAGAATCGGTCTTTCCCCGTAAGCCAAGGGGAAGAAAACATACTCATTTTGTGGAGGCCTCAGCAGTTATGATTAACCTCCCAGTCTAGATGCAGCCATCTGGTCATTACTACTTCTGTTAAATTACATAATAACACCCATGCATTTTCACAGGTTCTGAGCAACACTTCCCCATTCACGTGGCAAGAATAACAGAAACCCTGCCCATGCAGAGGATGTTCCATCACATTTGCATGTGTGTGTGTGTGTGGTTTCATCAACGGGTTCATACAACAGCAGCTCGTTTTGCATGTGAACGGATTACAGAAAATGGACTTTAATTTCGACCGACTATGAGAAAGGCATAATCATGGGTGATGATGAGGGAGTTTTAAGTGTCACCATGACTGTTGTGCTGCTGGGGTGTAATTCAAAGCAGAGCAATGAATGGACTAGAAGCATGCTCCCTGTAGGAGAGCATGCTTCATCCAGGAATAGTTTGACGTGGCCTTAAGGACCTGCTGAGCAGCGGTACATAAGAAAACTACAAGTTCCTTGCTGAGTCACTGCCATAATGTCTGTTATCCAACAAAGTACTTAACAGGGTTTCCTATTGTTCCACTGTCCTGTAGTGTAAATCTAAACTGCCAGCGACTGGGCATATGATTATCACAAGACCTCAGAGAGTAACAGTAGAAACAAGCGACCTAATATTAGCTTCAAATGTCAAGGACTAAAATAACAAGTTCAAGCACAACACTACAGTGTCACCGAGAACAAAGATAGCCTGGGGACTTATTTCTGGACGGAGTAAACACTCAAATGCATATGGCCATTGTGGCATTCAGAGGCTGACACGAATGCCTGTGAAACGTGTCTCACGAGAGTCGAGAGCTGAACTCTCTGGTGGAGTTTAAAGCCATCTCCACTAAGGCTGCCACTAAAGACGATTTCTCTATCGATTCATTAATTGACTTTTAATCTAAACGGTTAATTTCTCCCCCCAAAAAATGAAATTTTATTATATTTTGACAAACTGCATCCTGCGGCCCAAGATAACATGTAAACCTATGTTTACATGTTAAAGTGCTAAAACATAGGTTTGTATGTGCTATCAAGATGTGCTACTTGCGGTTCTGGACTTGCAAAAAATATGTTCCCAATATTCTTACAACATGGAGTGAGTAGTGGTGTAATATAAGACTATTCTGCAGTGGGAGCATTCTCTCTAAGGGGATATTGTTCAACATAAATATGTTACCCCTGAAATCTTAAATGAAGATATTATAATAGAGAATCAACATATGCTGCCCATATTCTTACAGAGCCCCGTTTGTTATCAGAATCGGTCGACCCTGCTATCGATTCGCCCTACGGTAGCACGGCGGCAGAAGTTGTCGGACCGAGCAATGCCAGAGTGTTGGCCTCAACAGAAGCTCGGACTTTTGGCGGGAGGCATTCAGGGTGAGAGGGTGCCGTTCATCTGCAAGCACCGCCCACAACGCAGTGACACAAAGCGGCATGCTTCCTTTAAAACTCTTTTTCAATGTTATTTCTAAAGCAGCAGGCAGACACACTATGGTGTTATGAGTGTACTTAGCAGCTATAAAGGACAAAATATATATATATATTTTTAAAAATATGTGTCGGTTTAAAATATTGATGTTGAAGCATTTTTAGCGTTGCCATGATCAATCATGCAGAATCTACACTGGATGCAAATTAGGCCGCTCTAATTTGCATCCAGAATATCATTGGAGCCCCCGTCTCTTTATCCTGGAATGCTTTTATTCTTCTCAAATGGACAATGGTCTCTAAAATACATTTATGAAATCATAGCTCTATGATTGTCTTAACCTTGTTCTCACCCGACGGGTCAGTGTGTCAGTAAGCTCCTAAAGCAGTCGGGGGTCAGTACGCTCCTAAGCAGCGCTCCACAGGTAGCCCCGAGCACCGGTCTCACCTTGAGCTGCTTCTCCTTCTTCTTGCGCACGTCCTCCCACTCGTTGACGATTCGTCCCCACAGGATCCACGAGTCCTCCTCGAGGTGGGAGAGGTTGGAGGAGGCAGAGGAGCTGGACACCAGGGAGGAGCCGCTGTTTCGCCTGGAGCCGTTCATGGAGCGCAGCGACTTGCTGTCTGTCTCCAGCAGCCTGTAGGGAAGGTGACCGTTAACACTGTGCACACACAGAATATTGGGTTTTAACCGTTAAGTCCACGAACAACAAATGCTTGTTTCAATCATTTATCAAAGTCAACACGTGTTGCTACTTGCAACTGCTTTATGTGGCTTATAAAAAACCATAACAGGTCTGTTATAAAAGCAACAATGCATATTGGACGTCGGTAAAATATGAATTTCCATCATGGATGGCATTTGAAGTGCATTGTGGAGGGATGACAAGCTCAAGCAATGCATTCCTCAGCAGGTTAATCTAGCACTGTATCACTCTTATCAGTTGGTCACTGCAGTTACTGACAGAGTGACCCAATCAAGGATCAGTGTGCAGAGAAAGAGAAGCTGGGTCTGAGGAGCTCGTGACAGACACACAAAGGCTCAGACACCTGATCTCGGAAAAAAAAAAGAAGAAGCCTGGGCCTCTACACTGGAGCCTGTGACGTCAGTGAGGGTGCTCCCAAAATGTCTAGGATTACAGCCCTATGTGGGTCGGGGGGGAAGCGAAGTGGACTGCCAGAGAGACCAGCCTGCAACGGAGCTCCTTCACTTGTATTCAGCTCTGACGGCGAGCGAACAGGTTCGTTCAAGTTCGTCACAAATGGTCACACGCGCTGCAAGGACGGGCTGCGTTTACACATGAACCTGAACATACCTGCACCTCTGCAAATAATTCACCAGTAGTCAAACACAACACAAGTCTGAAGCTTTACAAACACAGAATAGCAGAACACTGCAGTGAATTGGTTGCAGTCGAGCAATGCTTGCAGGGTTTAAAGAGAGAGTTTGAACGATATTTTGAGCTCGGACGAAATGCCAAACCATTAGTTTTACATTCGTTCCCCAGCATGTGACTGTTACAATATCATGACTTCAATTTGCAGTTCATTACGGCAGGACAACAAGCTGAAAATACTTTTAACCTTACCAAGCCAAACTCATGGTGTTCTCTTCATGTCTCTGGTTTCTAGGAATTTTGGAGCAACGTCTTGTCCGATTTACAGATTGGAGCTGTCAGTGCGGGACTTCCTCGTCCGTGTGTCACTACTGAACGAATGCTTTTATCTGCTCTGTAGGGTACAAAGGCCTGCACAAAACACCTGGTAAACAAGCGCAGGAGGCATTGCGGTATCTGTAACATACATGAGAATACCAAAGTCCTCCCTCCTGTTGTCGCACTCGTCTGTCAATGCGCGCGCGCACACACACACACACACACACACACACACACACACACACACACACACACACACATACACACACACACACACACACACACACACACACACACACACACACACACACACACACACGATTATAAGATGTGCATGTTTGGTAAGTATCAGCATGTTGCTACGGCGGTGTTTCAAAAACAAAGACCGCATGATCAATTGGAAGCAAAGCGCGGCAGCAGAGCAATGTTTTAATTAACAAGACGTTAAAGGGGCCCCGCTGTGTGGAGGCAGGGGTCAAAGGGCAGAGGAACAATGAGCCCCTCGACACCACGACTTGTGTTTACAAGACGGGAGTCTGCTCAGAGCTTCATGAGGGGAATCAGGGAGAAAATGAAACAGTGAATCTGGTTAGTTTTGATCTCCCGTTATGAGGGAAAAGCGCTCGGCATTCTGGAGCGGTCGTGGGTGTACCGATGAGTCACCGACATCTGCATTCAACAGAAAGCGTCGCTGTCTTCCTTCACTGGAGTTAACCGTGACACAATCCCCCCCAACTCTGAACCGAGTGCTCGGTTTCCATGCTGCCACGGAGTGCACTAGCCATGGGTGAGAGTCACAGCGGAGGAAGAATTCACAAAGCTGGCAGTAGAGGGGCGTTGCGTCACCCTTCAGCAGCACTGGGATCTGATGTTAACAATGAGCACGTCAGGGACGGCCCAGAGAACACACATCTCAACTTACAAAAGACTTGTACAGTTCAATGTGTGGCAGATCTACAGAGACGCAGTACAGAGTTGCATGACATCTGCAATAAATTAGGAGCTCTACAACTAAGCATGCTACGATGTCGATTTGTGGAGATATTAACAATTTCATGCAAAGGAGACTCTGCTCTTGTTCTAAGATGGATGGCCAAGAAACATATTGTGTGAATAAACGCAAGCACATCTGGCTCGACATCACACAGAATTAAAAATGCTGAGTAAGAAGAAAGGAAGCAGCAACACCACTTTTAGAATTCTATGGGATAACCCTCCAAATACTAATCCACCACTGTGCATACAATAGTCCAGAATACCAACAAGTAACAACAATTCAAATGTACAATCACAATTAAAATGACGATGCATTTCAAATTGCCACCTTTAGAATCAATGAGAGGTTCCTGTTAATCCTGCTCCCTATTAGAGGATGTGTTTTCTTCTCTTTCACTCCCTGCAGGTAGTGCAGTCTACCACCCACATCTTAACCTTTATAAATCTTGACCCAGGTACTGTTAAACCACAGGATGACAGGGTCTAAAGTGACACAGACACACACACACACACACACACACACACACACACACTTGGGTCCAACACCTTAAAACCAGCAGATACATGTAACTGATAAACAAAAGTAATCTAAAAACAGACACACGACTTTGCCTTCATGTGCGAGGAGCACACACTGACAAAAAGCACACAAACCCTCCAAGAACAAAAACTCAAAATCTTCTCAACAGACGAGCTAAACCCCAAAAAAACTAAATCGAGATTCTTTTCTTCCGACCACATTTGACTCTTTATATTCTCAGCTAGTTGGCAAGTCTCAACCTGTTGTGCGTCCCTCTCCTGTAGGTGTGTGTGCATACGTGATCAGGTGGGGGATGTGCAGAATGATTCTACGGCAGTCACAGTGGTGCAAATGTGTAACGAAAACAAGGCAAAGAAAAAACAATTAATAGTTGATCTGTATATCACTGTAGCCGGACCAACAGCAACTGTAGTACTTCCTGAGGAAGTTGAACTTGTTTGGGGTGTAACGCTTTCACTTTTCTGAGCATAGTAATCTGTCTCCTGGTGCTGAGAACCAGCTGCACGGCACAAAGACAGTCCAGTGATCTCACAGGCCAGAACCTGTCTCACATTATTCAGCAGGAGGGAGAGTATCCACCCCGTCCTCTTTGTGTACAGTCTGAGCTGCTTCCCTCAGGCTCGCAGTTAAAAGGTCAAATTGTTGATGACCGTTGTTTTCTGCCGTTATGTTAATATAATAGAAGAGAACTCAGTGAAAGGCAAACTCACACTGTTGTAGTTCAATGGGTCTTTTAAGCAAGGGCAGCTTCAAACATCTCAATATATTTTAATATATCTCCTCAAAGCAACAAGAAGATAAATCCAACACTTTTCCTACATATTGTGCAAAATGGACTTCCTGTACATTTGTAACAGAGATGCACCGACACCAATACTGACAACGAATATTGGCCCGTTACCGGATCAGGTATCGATGACAATGGCCCAACGGTATCGGACACCATTATTTTAATAATAACAATTCAGTACATTTGTATTTATTTCCCAAAAAAACCAGCTTGTGTGATTGTCTGCCAGCCTGTGCGCTCTATATCTCTGTGTAACTAACTACTGAAGACGTGGTATTAATCCAGTGGAAATCTACGCTCTACCTCACAACGTGTTCATCTGATGGGCAGGAGAAGCTTAAGAGACGGACTGCTCACCTGTTCTGCTCCTCGAGCTTGGCCAGCAGCTCCACATCGTCGGGACTAATCGGCGCCGGCGAGGACGGCGAGAGGGCAGGCGAGGACAGAGACGTGGAAGAGGAGGTGGCGGTGGTCTGCAGGGACGTGGGCGTGGTCACCTGGCTAGCCATCTGACTGACCGTGTGGGACACCGAGTTCTTCACCCATGAGAGAGTAGAACTCAGCTTAAAAGCAACCTTGTCTGTCGCCACCTGCAGAGGATGGAGACAACATTCAGCAATGTTTTTTGGGAGCATTTTTTATTTTCCACCCGCTTTCACAGGGCAGTCTAGCCTGAATCAGACAACTTCTTAACTTCTCTCCATGTCAGTTATGTTTTGCTTGCAATCAAATTTAAATATGTATTTAAACATCATTTCTGGCAGAACCATGAAAAAGCTGCACTGGTAGCACAGATCCAGCAGTCAGTATCGTCTGGATCGATTCAGCGGCTTAGTTTTAAATTTAGCAATTAGCAAATTAATTACTCTATTTCTGATACCAAGATCAATACATGAAGTGACTTTTCCAGTGTTTTAAATGATGGATTGAGTGACAATCACCAATGATTCTGTCAACTCATTCAATATAAAAAATGAGATGCTCTCTGAAGATCATCATCCTACATGATTGACATTTCTTTACCTTTAACTTTGACCAATCCTCTGCACAAGTACAGTCCGGTGTGCCACATGTAATAGTTCAGTGTCACTGAGGAAGAGCTTCTTGTGACACATCACCACCAAACACAGGTCTGAATGCATTCTGTCACAATGTAACAATAACCTACAGCTGACATTTGACACACACAGCAATGACAACAGCATGAAGAATTGAAAACAAGTATTTGGATCGGTGCTCAGCAACGGCCAATCTACTGTCGAAACAAGCAGGGAGGATGTGAGTGCCTGATGCACAATACTGAAAGCTGAATGCAGGGAACCGTCTACTCCTACCTGCTACTCCAAATAATCCAAAATCATTGGCTTTCAGCTGCTTATATACTCCATGAGGAAGTCCAGTATGTATTTATTAAGAGAAAACCACTACTAGAAATGAAAAAAAAACCATTAAATTGAAATGTCAGAAACAAGTTCTATCCTGACAGAAATCCACTCGTCAGACCTTCGGCCACTGCTCTGTAGTCATCTGCTGATCACACTGTCAGGAAGGGTCAAAGTGCTCCACTAAAGATTATACCACTTCTTTCTAAATCAGCGTACAACGGGAAGTGGACCTCTGCGCTCAGCAAAAACTCACCTCACACCTGATAAAAAAATGATTTGCCTTTGGTTTCAAACCAACAGGAAGTCTGAAGACTGCCACCAGGCAGGATACTGAACATATCATGCATCTTACTGTGTCTATAACGATGAGTCACTTTTCTGTGAGTATCAGAAAAAACAAAGGAGGAGGAAAGGATCGTGGTCAATGTGGTGATAGGAATGTGCTATAGTACAGACTGAAAATAGCTGAGCTCAGGTTTTTTTTAACCCTCCTGCACACAAACACTGAGTGACTTTACTGTTTATTTATCTGTTTAACAGCTTTGTAGATGTAGATATAGGGTACCGTAACAGAACAGTTTTGGACGATGAGGACAATTGATAGCGATCTTGAGAAGTGTGTGTAGGAATAGGCAACAGGACAAATGACTATGTCCTCATTCTTAAATCAAACCAGTTGCAGTGTACCAGGCGCCCTTGTGGCCCAGTGGTTATGACGCATAGAAGATAAACGTCCCAGGTGTTATTCCAACTGGGGACAGTACTTACAACAGTAGTTGTGCGTCATTGCCCTCTCCCAAAGTATCCTGTCTGAAGCATATTTACCGACCTTCATCAACAAGCTGACATGACAGGCAGCTAAACCAACAGATCCACATCCTGTAGACCCTACAGGCTGGCTGCATTACATGAGCCTGGAGAGATGACACCATGATGACAACTAGGCTATAGAAGGCAACACTCACTTTGTAGGGAAGAGCAACAAAGGTCTGCAGAATATGTACGTAGATATATTTTAATACATTTCATTGTATATTTTTTTTCCCCGATACTGTGAAAACACAGGTTGCATTTACTCACTCCGACTGCCTGTAACAAAGTTAGCACCAGACATACGCTGCTCACAGAGACAGAATATGTCATGGGTGTGTGTGTGTGCGGTGCACTCTGACTCAGAAGGCCATCAGCACATTTGTCCATCTCAACAGCAAAAGCAATTACGGGAGTCAAATTCATTAATACATAATTGAGTTTACAAAGAAACGACAGAGTCACACTGCGACTAGATTCACCTGACTGGCACAATAAATGCAGGACATCTAATCGTATAATACACTTACACATAACTGCAATTAACTTGATTATTACATTTTAAAAAGGATATTGAAAGTGAATTCTTTGTGTGAAAAGAATTAACAATGTTGGTAAATGTGAACATTAATATAAAACTGATCCTGAAAAAAGAGTTTGTTTTCACTCCACCAACTCTTTTTTGTTGCCTCAGTGAGGAAAGCTAGCATTGTGTCTGTAATCTCTCTCTGGAAGCAAAGAAGTAGTAGTAAGGGCATGATGTGGGATGCCAAGCAGAACTAACTGGGGAGAGAAATGATGAACCAAGTGGAGGTACAGCCTGGACCTTGTTTATGTGCTCTTATTAGGTCTGATTAATGATGTACCTCATTGATAATTAACCTTATTAATTGGCTTACTTATTTATAAAACATTGGGGAAAGAAACAAATACCAGTGTGCCTTATTGTAGTTTTCTTTTAAGCAGACTAAAAATGTCCTGAAAACTAATTCAGGGACCAAAATACGAGCAGCAAAAAAGAAATCTACATTTCTTCTAGCAAGCCCGGCAAACTGAAGCAAGGCTTCCCTGTAAATCCTGGATACAGGAGATTGTTTCTACTTTTGTTTGTCAAAGAACTCAAAGGGGCCCTGAGACGCAGCGCGCATAGCTAATGAAACGCACAGCAAGGCGAGAAGAAAGCCTCGGCGAAACAACTTCAAGACGATTGGGGAACTGAGAAAAACCAGAGGCAGAACAGAGACGCGTTTCCTTTTTCCCCCCAATTCAAAATGCACGGCACCCAACAGATAGCTCACAGTGCTGTCAGACAGACCAGGGGGAAGAAAACTGTCATAAACTCTTAAGCCAGGACAAATGTAGAAGTCTTTTTAAAGTCATCATCTGAGGTGAAAAATAAGACTTAATTCATCTCGCTTTTACTTCTCTTTCATATTGCTATTTCAAGGCAGTGAAGAAGAAGAACACAATTGTCTGTGCCCAGCAGGAGAGTCTGTCTTCAGGGAAACAAGCCGTCCATGAGCTGTGTGAGGGTATTAAAACACAGGCCTGACTTTACAATGACAATGACACACGGACACAGAGGTAGAAAGGCCTTTCACTTCACACACAGAAGGAAGCTCACATTTTCCCAGAGTACAATCAGCATCTCAATGGTCTTGCTGAAGGCCATTCTTCATGATGCAGCCACATAATGAGAGCGAAAGACACCGGCTATTATTTTACACTTGGCCTGCAAACCCTGCACTGCAAAAAGTAGCCTTATTAAAAGAAGAAGTTTTAATCAATAACACCAACACATACATTTTAGGCTTGGCTAGTTTATTCTGTGGGAGTGACAGCTAATGTCAATCTAATACACCAACTACTTGGCTAAGCATTCTGCTGGGAAAGAGTGTGCAAACTCCATTGTCTCCATCAGTGACTGGCATTTGGTCTTCCACAGACTACTTCCTGTGATATGCCCATATGTGGCATTACTTGAAAGGCTCACTTCTTTCACTTGCACTCACTTTGTTTGACAGATGCCACGACTTCTTAAAGTCACTCAGCTGTTTATTGTTGTTTATGTTTGTGATACCTCTCAAATAATACTACTGAAAAGTAGATACAAACCAAACAACATACGGGCTTACACGCAAATCTTCTGCTCCCTTCTTAGTTCCAAAAGATGTATTATTACTCCCTGAAGCACGATATGTTTCTCAGCAACCATACTGAGGTTGGGGGTCAGAGTAAAGCTTGTGAAGGTTTCCATCGCAGCTTCATGGCCATCTCTAGTCTCACATGAGTTTTACACTGATAGAAGTGTCACTATACATGATAAGCTAAGCACTGAGAGAATTCTGACAACAAAAATACATTTATATGAAATCAACCAAATACATTGAAGGGTTATTTTTTTTAAATTTCCTTTTGGGAGGACTAAATACTTAAATTTCTTCTTCTTCTTCTATTAGCTCTAGTCATTGGTAGAGCACAATGTGGATTCACGCTTCTGAGTTCATAAAAGGTGAGGTTTTAGGTGAGGAATCTAATATCAGTATAACATTACATTTAATGGATCCTTATGGTTGCCATTGGTTTGGCTCTGCATACAAATAGCCCAATTTTCCCAGTTCACTGGATCAACATGCTGCGAGTAGTGTTCAAGTCATGATCATCAAGTTAACCAAAAACCTCCTTTACTCTCTCACGACCGTGTCCTCACATATATTAATCAGACCTGGTGTGGCTTACTGTAATACTTCATGACAGTCGAGTAAGAAGTACTTTCTGCAGTTAAGTAGTTAAACTTTGGGTAAATCTCTGGCCCGAGAGCCGCGTTGTTGTAACTTGCAGGTCACTTCTCGGGAGTTTGAGTTAAATATATCCTTCACGTGAACACCGCCAATGCCACTGCTGAGCAGTTTAAACCCTTTGCTGGGGCCACACATCATGCTCTCACCAAAAACATTTGGTTTACAGGCAGTGAACAGAGGAGCGATGCGTCGGACACAGAGAAGATCCTTCTATGGCTCGCTTGTGTAGTGAGCTGAAATGGAGATCTAGCATCAAATGCAACAGTATACAGCGTCTTTCTCTCAGAAAGCTCCGACGTTGGCGAGCTCCACGAGGCTTACAGTAGAGTTAAATAGTTACATCGGTAAGTTAACTCGACATTGCTAAGAAGAAGAAAAAAAAAAAACTCATCCAACCGAATTATATTTTCTTTCCAGGCGATAGCTGGAGCCCTTCGCAAGCCAATTAATTAGCTAGTTTTTCCAACTGTAAGCTAAACTTACAATAGCTTGACTGGAAACCTGTGACAAAAGCTAATATTGCGCTAGCCAAATGCAAGAGTTTGGTATTGACACCGTCTACTTTCTCGACGTAATGTCATACAACTCACTTGAACTGATACAGTGGTAACTTCCAAATCGTTTTATGAGTTAGTGTTCACGCCAGTACTTAGTCAGAGCCCGAAAAAAAAACAAGAACATCTTTACCTTGAAGCGTTTTCAACCAGCCGCAGCGAACGTCGTCTGCTTCCCATGCACCAAAGTATAGTCCTACTGTTATTAAGAAAATACTGGTTTTCCAACACTTTATCAGAACACATCGGCTATTTTTTTTTTCCAAGTTAGCATAGCTAGGTTTCCACTTGAAAGCTAGCCAGTGTTGAGTTACCTAGCTAGTTCCCATTGACTCCCCGGTCCAGCCCATGCAGCCGTATAATACGTGTACACAAATGTCTGCAGAGCGCAGACAGACGGCGGCGGCCTACCAAATGTTTACATCGCACGGAGCATGCGCCCTCCGCTCAAACCTGACACAACACTACCACCAAGTGTTCGTGACGAGGAACTGCACATTAGAGACCTTAAACTAGGCTATATATTTTCCGTCATTCAGAAAGAGGAAATACTGAATTAAAAAATAGTTGTGGAAGGAGAAGTAGAAGCAGAAGTGTAATTATGTATTTTACTTTCGTTGCAAACAAACTTCTGACTATATATGGATAATAAACAATCTAAAGTGGGGTCAAGCATGTCATCCTGGTTGGACCATAACTGCATCACTGTAGGCTAATAGTTGCCTTACAAACGACTAGTTGAGTGCCAGACTATGTCATTAAGGTTATCCAGAGGGAACTGACGTGTATTTCAGCTATGGCCACAGCACCACCTGGAGGCTAGCTTTGTTTGACTTATCTTTACTTACTTTTATTTACTTTTATTCAGATGTTTTACATTGATTTTTGGAAACTGTACATGTCTACTGATGTGGGCTAGCAAACTGGTTGGAATTTGAAATTGACACCAATATCAACATTTGAATATAAAATTTTAAATCTGGCAGCACTCAGAATAGAGAGTATATGACAATGTGTTCAGGAAACAGGAGCCAAGAAAAGGGAGCATCTCAGACTCAGCCAAACTCATTCTTTCAGCACGTATATGATTACATGTCACCTCACCTTGAGAGTTATTCAAGTAACAGTGAAGTTTCAGCCCAGCACATTAGGTCACAGAAAAGAGTCTCAGGCTTCCTAATCAGTATCTACCTACTATCACTTACCTGATGTTCATTGCTGAGAGAAAAGATACTTCTGTCCGAGTAGACTGGAGGTCTGAACAACGTTGCTTCAGTAGTCATTCAATTAAGGTATGTTGTCTTAATAGTTGAATCAGAAAATAACCAATCAATAAAAAATAAAAATAAAAAACCCTCTGTTCTTACTCAGTGGTTAGTCCTTACTAAAACCATGAACCTAAATTAGGATAAAATGAATTAGAAACTGACGAGGAGCTCTTTCTCTTTGTTTGATAGTCTCACACAGCTGGCTTTCACTGAGCAATGGCTGTCAATAGAAACTCACGAGGTAACCACATCCCATCTCTGGTGAAAATATGAGTAAGCTCCACTCACATAACGAACAGTCCTGCAGCCTACTTTTCAGGTTTTACATGGGAGCAGTGACGCATGTCTTTTTGTCGGTTGTTGGACACTCCTCTGCTCATTGACGGAGCGGAAAAGCGGCTGACGCTGTAGGTTAGACTTGGCAACACCATGGAGACTGTAGGCCACGGAATCTGATACACCATCACAACAATCGCATCTCAGTCTGCCAGGCATAAATAGTTAGATGGCTATGAACACGGGGTGGAATAGTGATTCACTAAGGCCCTAAAAGGATTCAAATGGAATGAAAATAAATGCTGAAAAATATTAGTAGATTTGTGTTGGGTGAGTTAGCAAAGATCAAAATCATTACGTGGCATTAGATGTTTAATTGACTTATTACTCAGTTAACTGTGACTGTGCTGTTATTGTTTGCAGACATATGTCAGATGCTCTACTGATGCACTTTTTAATCCTCACAGACTAATGGTCAAGGACATGCTGGATTTCTGCTATAGTAATGGGTAATAATACCTGACTCAGCATGGTGACGTCTGAAGACTTAGTAGTATAGATATTATCTTTAAATAGCACCAATGAAACTATCTGCAGATTCCAGTATTAGTAGCTGGTTAAATCTGTTTGTGTGCAAACTGTGTGAACTGATGTTCCGAGGAATACAAATTCCCCAAAATCAGCTCTTGATGGAACAACGTGATATTTCAGTACCAAAATCGAAGCTTCCTATCGAAGGCGCCCAACTGCATACCTAACAATATCATGATATACTGTTTATTGATATTACAAAAAAATAAAACTATATATAGGCCTACCATGATGGAGCATTGTATCCATATCACATTGTCAACCAATTGTATTGTTCTATAACGTGACACTGAAATGTAGAGAACACAAAATAACAAGGACTCACACTAACACTGTTCTCACAACTAAAAACACTTGAATGACACACATATTGTGTACCTCCCATGTTACAAGTGCATCATCATATATATAATTTATGCACACAATAGGGGAAGAATCAGGTTAAAAAATTGTCTCCATTTTAGTTTTTGCCAACTTTGTGTGAGGTATTGAGATAATATGAGGTCTGGACAGCAGACCCTTCACTTTGAGGGCAATGAATAAAAGACTGAGCCCACTATAACCCCATACACATCATAAATGCATGCAGGTTACAAAATGGTCGTGAGCAGTTCAATGTTTGAATGAAGTTATGAATGAGTATGTGGTTGAAAACTCCCTTCAATCTGTCCCCATTCTTTCTATATGAAAAAGTTGAGTATTTTAAAACAATATGAAGGAATTGAATAGCCACCATGTCCTAAATGAGCTGAACATGTTGTCGTTTTGATAAAATAGGTTGTTATAAGTGAATGCCAAAAAACACACGAGAACAACTTGGCTTGAAAATGGTAATATGACCAAAACAAAGAGACACCGTGACCAGATTTGAATCACAATTAGACTTTTGTTCTGGTTAAAGGAATATAGAAGAGTGCTGTTATTGGGTAAATGGCCGCCCCAGCTCGATAGGGGGCAGAGTGGCGAAACCTCTGCAGCATGGCGCCTCTGCGTCCCATCCTGTGACACGGTATTTACGGAGCATGCGCACGGCGTCTCTTCCTTTTCCCAGTGCAGCGGAGTCAAGCCCCAATCTGTGGCTCCGGGCTCCTTCATTAGGAGACAAAAATACTGCAAAAATGGTTTGTAATTCGTCCCAATACGTGTCTACATGTGTGCCTAAGACATACATTGAGCGCTGTGTGGTGTCAGACATTTAAAAACATGCTGCTGGTGTTCAGATGACGATAGATTGAGTCCTGCTAATGCTTACCCCCAGTCTGCTTGAACGTGGCCTAATGGCTACCCTCACAAACTCAATGCTTCCTTTTTCCTGTAGAATATTTTTGCTGTGATATTTTCCTCCGTGCTTGACTAGTGGGTCTTTAAATTCACATTCCCCCCCCCCAATTTCCATGTCCTACACCTCCGTATTAGCTCGTTTGCTGCTCGCGAACACTGCGTAGCGGTTGTGCTAACTCGTTCATTTGCACTGGTCGAGCTGGCTAATGTTAGCTTGGTCTACCGGTGACAGTGACAGGCGAACCACTGTGGACAAAGTACACTAACGTGAAGCTAGCTTCTGTTTCTGTATGTTTTATCCCTGATGCTAAGTTGATGCGTGTCCTCTTGCAGGGTTTTGTTAAAGTGGTGAAGAACAAGTCCTACTTCAAGAGGTACCAGGTGAAATTCAGGAGGAGGAGAGGTAAGACCCCCTGTGACAGTCATGCCTGAGCTCAGTGACATTTCGAAAGTAAGCTTGGTGTCATTTTCAAATACTTTTTGTGTGTTTCTTCCAGAGGGAAAGACTGACTTCTTTGCCCGCAAGCGCCTTGTCGTACAAGATAAGAACAAGTACAACACACCCAAGTACCGGATGATCGTCCGTTTCTCCAACAGGGACATCTGTTGCCAGGTGAGCACACGCTGAGATTACGCAGCTTTTACCTGTTGACATCTTTGAACTGATGGTATGTTTATGTGGCCTGCAGTACGCCAACAACAGAGAATCAGACGAAATAAATTGTAACTGGTAGTTTCTGAGTTAATGTAAACATGGTCAAATCACGATGTGGAGTTTTTCCCCAATTGTTTCACACAGTTGAACGCTGCAGCCATACATCAATCTGAACTGCTTTACCATGTATGGTGTACTAGAAATACTCGTCATCAGTCGAGGGCTGTTGCAGTCCAGATCAACATGTGTGTGCTTTTAAATTGATTGATTGTGATTGCATTGCAGATCGCCTATGCCAAGATTGAGGGCGACATGATCGTGTGTGCGGCTTACTCACACGAGCTGCCAAAGTACGGGGTCACCGTGGGCTTGACGAACTACGCAGCAGCCTACAGCACTGGTCTGCTGCTGGCCCGTAGAGTACGTACAGACATCTGTTTACATACGTGGTATCATATGACCCTTAACTTAAGTGCGTTTTCATGGTGAATGGCCTTTTGTGTTCTAATCCAGGTTAACCTGAATGAGAGAAATTCTGCTGTACCGGGTGACTCTTTTTTCGCCCTCAGCTGCTGAACAAGTTTGGCCTGGATAAGGTGTATGAGGGCCAGGTGGAGGTGACGGGCAACGAGTTCAATGTGGAGAGCATCGACGGTCAGCCGGGCGCGTTCACCTGCTACCTGGATGCCGGGCTTGCCAGAACCACCACAGGCAACAAGGTGTTCGGCGCTCTGAAGGGGGCTGTGGATGGAGGCCTGTCCATCCCACACAGGTAACCTGTGACAGTAGAGTTGATGCTGTTCTCTACTATGTGAGAGCAATGAGGTTTCATTCCAAAATAGGATTTGGTTGAAAAGATTTTCGTCTTTTTTTAATTTTTTACGTGACACCTTGAATGCAATGTGTTGGTCAGACTGGTGGAAACACTTATAATTTATAGTGTTTGCGTCTTGCATTATAGAAATCTTCAATGTTGCTTCTTGGTGCTTTGCTTTGGGAGACTTTAATTATCCAGAGTCCTCGTTAATGTTATCAGTCGCACCTGAGTTTCAAACTATTGAGTCAAAATGTTTCTGACAAAAGCCTTTTAATGCAGGCCATCTTTTGACAAGCTTTTCTTTTTAAATAGTTTTATTATATTGCACAGACGGCCTGTCTCATAAATTGACTTGTGGTAATGACACTCAGTGAGGTTTGATATTAAAATTGTAGTGCAGTGAAGAAATGGTTCAGTTGGTATTACCTCACCTGTCATGGTGATGTGGATGTAATTGAAGGCATGTTTCTGTGACCGCCTTGACAGATATTGAGCTATGGTCTGTTTAATCGCAGTGTTTTTAAATGCATGAAATATCTAAATGGAGGCTCTCAGAAAATTGTGAACGCTTGAAGAGGGTTTGAGTAGGAAGGGGGTTGTATAAAGGATCCGAGCATGTTGAATGAAAGTTACTTGTTGAGTTTCTTGCTGCTTGAAGAGCCCCCCCCCCTCATCCTGTCGGATGTCTTCCAGAGGTGCCAATTAGGACACTCAGAATTTACATGTTGGCTTCATCTGTGCGCTTGTACAGTGAGTGAAATATCTGGTGTTGCACTTAAACTCTCATTTGGCATGTAGACAGCCTGAGTTATGGCCGACACGGCATCTGATTTGTGTTGCCCGTAATTCAGAGGAGATGATTCAAAGACACAATTTATCGTGGAAAAACTGCAAGGACATAGTACTAAAACATGCATTCAGTTAGCTGTGAAATTGAATGCTAGTTGTCCGGTTACAAATGGATCTGTATGGCAGGTTCTGCCACCGAGCGTTAATGAGCAACCTGTAGATGACTACACTGTGCACCACAGGATCAGTGTGGTGGATCTGCCTGGCCACATGTGGAGGCGGTCCGGCTCGTGTGACTATTGACTCTGAACAGCTTGCCTGAATGCAGAAGACACGATGAGATGTTGTCATTATGAAGCCGGTGTAGTTGCCCCATACAGAATGTAATGCTGTTTGGATAACGCACACGGGAGTTGTGCGCACCATGATGCAGTGCTGTGTTCATTGTGCCTTGATATAAAGTCACACAGCTCTGCTTGACTATTTTGAATATTGTCTATTAAATGCTTACTGAACCTCCTGGGATTAACCTATTTTTTTTTTTTATTCCCCCCCCACAGCACCAAGCGCTTCCCTGGCTATGATCCAGAGAGCAAGGAGTTCAACGCTGAGGTTCACCGCAAGCACATCATGGGCGTCAACGTGTCCGAGTACATGAGCTACCTGATGGAGGAGGACGAGGACGCTTACAAGAAGCAGTTCTCCCGCTTCATCAAGAACGGAGTCGCCCCCGATATGGCAAGTCGTCTTTACGCAGCGTGAAACTGTGCTCACTGTATTGCATCTGGATGGTAGACGTGGACCAATCAACTTGTGGTGGAAGAGCTTCTATCTATCAACTGATCTCATTAGTGGCAGATGTCACACACGGCTGTTAGTGATTCATCAGGAGAAAGATCTCGAGTCATGGCACAGTGATCACAGGAAAAATACATAATTACCCAACAATTAATCTGGTTTTGGTGCTTGTAATAGATGACGCAGCTTGCACTGTTAAAAATAAATAAGTGTTGGATGTTAAAAAACAGCTTAAATTCAGCCCCTGTGTAATTGGGCAGTGGCTCCATTTGTCCCAGTAATTCATGTTTATTAACATCATAATCCCATTGACAGAGCTTCATCTAAAAACATTCATTCTCAAATCTTTCCAGTCGAAGGGTTTCATGTTTTTGTGACTCTTGGGCCGTAAGCAACACCACCTGGTGGCACAAGAGAGGAGCGAGATTTAACGATTGTCTCTGTAGAAAATGCTCGGATTCAAGATTTACAAACGGCCTCTTTAGACTGCTTGTTAAATCTTGGTAATTGTAAATGACTAAACGGTAAGACCACAGAAAGTGCTAACAAGTTTGAAGCTATGTGAGAAATGTCGAGTAAATCTTAATTTCTTGGATATGAAACTTCAAATATTTGCATCTTGAGTGAGTGAAGAATGAATTGCACCCATAATTCTGATGACTCGTCTTGTCTTTCTTTCAGATTGAGGGAATGTACAAAAAGGCTCATGCTGATATTCGTGAGAATCCAATCCACGAAAAGAAGATCCCCAAAGAAGTCAAGAAGAAGAGGTGAGAAATGCTGATGTGTTAAAATATTTGTTTAGGCTTGTTCTAAGATCTCACACCAGTTTGATTAAAAGTTTGGAGTAAAGTATTCAGTCTGAGCTGTTGAATACGGCAACTCTGCCACATGGCTGTAGTATAGTACAGCTTGGAATGAAAGTTAAGCCTTATTTGGACACCAGGAAAGTACAATAAGACTTGCAACACTTGAATACAAAAAACTGCAAATGCTAACTGCTTTTTTTTGTGTGTGACCTAGGTGGAACCGTGCCAAGCTCTCTCTGGCCCAGAGGAAAGACCGCGTCGCCCAGAAGAAGGCCAGCTTCCTCCGGGCGCAGGAACAGGAGGATGCAGACTGAGGCGTCGGTCTGCTCCGTTCCTCATGTGGAAATTTGTTCTAATAAATCTATCGAAAAGGAGTCGCGTCCTCTTGTGTACTTTTTCATATATTGTATTGTCATTTATTAGCACTGTCGGGGGTTTCTTGAGCCCCTTATTATATATATTTTTTATAGGAAAGTGTTGTGTAATTTAACCACTTGATGGCATCGTGGCTTATAGGCTGATGTGCTTGTATGGGGGGGGGGAAAGAGCAGTCATGAAATCATTTCTGCAAACTGCCGTGTTCTAGACAAGTTGTCTGAGTGAGTTGAACCAAAGGGTAAATCAAGAAGTCAAGGGCTCAAACTACTACATGGTGCACTGCAGAGGGTTAAGCAAGCGCTCACTATTCAGGCTTTGTACAGTTGAGTCAAATTTATTGATGTCAGTCACAGTTTCAGAGAAATTGCACTTGCTTATTCTGCTCCACTATAATAAAGTTAACTTAAGATATAATATGAAAGGTGACATTCATTGACAACCTCTTCAGGATAAAACGTCAGTTACACGTCGAGATGAATAAATACGGGGAATCATGTACTTCTGTCTCCACGGTGGAAAACGGTCCAATATTTTATTTCAAAACGGAACGGAAGGGAAGGAATCAGTCTTTGCCCCCGAACGCTTTCCCATTTATTAGGAGTCTTTAGTGTGAGAGATTTTCTTCCATAGTAAGCTCTTGAGATTGTTTAGAATCAGCGAGTGCTCAATTTCCATCTGTTCAGCTGAACCTTTCAGTGCGATGCAAGCGTACAGCTGCTTCTCGAGCTCCTCCCTGACATCGGACGGGGCGCCTCTCAGGATGTAGTCCTTGAGCGCCTCGCAGGCTTTGGCCAAGTTGGGCCTGGTGACCTCTGGTGTGCAGCGGTGCTTGGTGAGATCGCAGGAAGTGAGGCAGTCCGCCCCGTAGAGGCAATCCTCGTCCGCATCGCAGCGCTGCTGCCTGATGTCTTCTTGGAAGATGGCTTCGGGAACGATGTACCGCGCGTCCATCACCTTCAGGTCGTGCCGGTCGTTGTAGCCGAAGCTGGTGGCGCTCACGTCGCACATGAGGAAGCTGCCGAAAGTGCCGTGGAAAACGTCCTCGACCAGTTCCAGCAGTCCGATGGCGATCTTGGCCTTGTGTGGCCAGGAGGGGGTGAACCACTGGTCCATGCTGCGGCGCACACCCGCAGGAATCCACACCTCGATGATCCAGGGAAGTCTGATGCCGTACAGGGGGGAATGTGGCACCTTCTCCATCACGTACAAGTCTCCACAGAAGCCCAGTAACTTGGGCGTGTGCTCTCTGTCTTGCAGGACTAATGCCAACAGGAATTCATTGAGCTGCAGCAGAGCCCACGTGGAGCGAGCCTCGGGCAGCGAGATGTGACCGTCTTTGTTGGCATCTGTTATCGACAATACTTGGGTTGCCAGGTCAGCAATGTTGGCCTGATCGCCCACTTTAGCCTGTAAAAGAAAAGGAAAGAAGCTTTAAGACAAACCAGAGCTTTTTAAGTTGGACTCAATGCTGGATTCTATTTGATCTTGTGTTTGAAGCTACAGTTGGTGACTTTTATCAAATATATCTTTATTATATTTGCTCAGACGGTCACTTTGTCCTGACAGTAGCACACGAGACCGATAATCTGTGATAAAATCAGGTTCCTCTGCCTTCTTTTAATGCTCCTAATAGCTTTTTAAAGATTCTACCACGCCAGCAAAGAAAACAACCAATCAGAGCCGAGGAGTCTCCATGCAGCCGTCAATCACTGGTCATGAACGCAGCGCTGTTCAATAATTATATCACTATTCTGTTACTGTATTGTCTTATTTCTCGCCTCAAATGTTTTCAAAAACATACTTTAGTTTACTGTTCAGCTGCTGTGGTGGAAAAACTATACAATAGTACCGAGTGAGTCCTATAACACTGAAATAAGGAATGAGTATTTATTCCCTGCGCAGAGAAGACTCAATCATCGCACTGTGTTGTCTGTGGGATGGAGAGAGTGACCTGTGTGCAGTTTGAGCACATCTTTTAAAAGGTCAGAGCATCAAGAGAGAAGGGGGAAGGTGTGTTTCTACTCTACACATTTTACAATAGTACCTACAATAAAACATTTACGACAGATCCTAATCTGTCCATCCAGTGGTTTACTACCTCTAAGCTGAACATTCTGTGATTACTGTCTGCACTCCCTACATCAAAGATACGACTGATCTAAACATTCCACAAACACTCCCTTTCGGATCCTTCCTTGAGAAGGAGGTTAGAGCAGACATCCCATGTAGGTTTGTCAAACATTGAACAAAGCAAAGAAGAAAAACCACAGTAGAACATTATTAAGCACAATGAAATGTTCTATCACACAAATGAGAAAGATTGTGACCCGGCCGCCATGTTGAAAATGACTAGAGCAAATTTACTCATTTTACAGCTGAAAAAAATACACTAAAATATGTTTCTGATAACATTTGAGGCGAGAAAAAGTAAATACAGAATCAGAATCTCGATTTGTATCTGATCATAGCTGCGTGGTTTCACAGTTTGATCGGAGTTCAAGAGCTTCACGAGCAGTGATTGGCTGCTGCGTCAGAGACTCCTCGGCTCTGATTTGTGGTTTTTCTTTGGGCGCGGTGGAATCTTGCAAATGCCAATTAGGAGCGCTGAAGAGGGGGAGAAACCTGATTTTTATAGTATCTGTCAGGATGTAGTGACAATTTGAGCAAATATGACAAAGTTGTTTTGATTTAAGTTACCAGCTGCAGCTTTAACGAGGGCTTCCTGACCTTTAGGTGGTTGAGGATCATCTCTCTGAACTTTTCCACAGAGGTCCCCTTGGTGGGCTTGTTGAAGGCCGAAGTCTCCTTCCTCGGCTCCATCTCGCTTCCCAAATCGTAATGAGGAGCGTCCTCCATCTGGCACTTAATGACACCCTCCAGGTCTCCCCAGCTGCCAGAGTACACCTAAAATAAACAGCGTAGGCCTGAGGTGCAGCTGGATTCACGACAAGCAGACTGGGAAGGAGTATTTGATAAGAAATAAAAAGACTGACCTGGCTTTTGGGCTTGGCAGTGAAGCACTTCCCCAGATAAAGCGTGTCTTTCTCACAAAGGCTGCTGCAGGCCGAGCCGTCGATGACACCTTTCCTGTATTTATCACACTGAAAAATACAATGGAAATGTTGGTAGGCTGCATGTCAGGAACTGGGGGAAAAAAAACAATATTATCAAGCGGCAAGAATATAGGACATACAGTATGTAGAACACGGTGTGGATGGGTCGGCATACTCACTATTGAATTTTTACAGTCGTGCCCACGACACAGCTCTGTGTAGGACGAGTACTCGACATACACTATCCAGCTCCCCACAAACACGGCCAGCCAGGAAAAGAACAGGTACTTCATATGCATGTAGGACAATTTGGCCTGTTGGAAACAGATTTCAAAGGTTTCTATCACTCAATTACATCATATATTAAGGTTCGGTGGTAAATCAGTGTTCTAAATGAAATACTCCGTTCGATTATGCCCATACAAATGATAAATTATTGGCAGTGTGGATGTTTCAGTGCATTAAACTGGCCGGGGTGATCTGAGGCCAGAGGGATAAATGGATTTTTCAGACAAGATGAGGGGATGAGACTCATGCTTGTTGTTAAAGGCCCGGTTCATCAGTCCCTTCTTCTTTCATGGGCAGAGCTCACAGTGAGCCCTGACAATGAATTTGCATTTCCTGTGCAACCCCCCATGGAGCACTTTGGCTAACATCTCAGGATCACTATTGATGAAATGGAACATATGTGCTCAGCGTGTGTTCTGTCAACCTAACCTAAAAATATCAAATCTTTTAAAGATTACAATACAGGAGCCAATATAGCAATCTTTTAATTGATGTTTACAGTGAAGTCATTTGGTCTGTGAGTGTGGGAACGGGCCAGTTAGTGGAATACAAATGAGCTCCCAAGTGAGTTGTGTCACTGAGTACATCATTAGTGCATTTGCCTCTAAATAGGTGCTCAGTAATTAACAGTAAATGGTGTTTGCAGTCTGGCACAGCAACAGTGGAGCATTTAGAGCGACTCCAGCCTCATTACCTTGTCTTTTGATTTTCTTTCTAATTCCCCCGCTGATGAATACAGTCTGCTTAGATCAATAATGGCAGTCTTCCAATTGGAGAACAGGAGTTTTTAACAGTACTTCCATTATGGATTCTTGCACTTGACAGTGATGAACTCCCCCTGCTTCCACTGTCTGCTCCTTTCAGTTCCAATTGTCTTTATTGGGATAGGTATCTCTATCCCCCCCCACACACACACACTACTTTTACTTTCTGTAACACTCTGTGCTGCTTCATCTTCCTCTAAGATCTTTCTGACAACTTTACAGTTAAATGTGAAATAGCTCATTGGTCACTCTTTTCCTATGCACTCAAACTAATAAAAAAAGCAAACTTAGAAGCACAAGATGTTTCTTTTCAGTGTTGACAAAGAGATTACATTTGTATGTGTCTCGAAATGGATTTCCCATCCATTTTGTGCCTTTGACACCACAGATAATACAGAAAGAGAGCTTTCAGACAGCCTCTATATGTCACTCTGTAATCTAGTTTCTCTCCAAGCAGTGGTCCTTAATCTCATGTTACTCTATTGTTTTTAGGAGGAAGCATATTTTCAGTATATTTTCCTGCCATTGCTGTCCGGGCTGTAGATACCAGTGAGGACGTAGAGGTCATGTTTTCTTCATTATTGCTGAGAATGTCTTTATGTTCTTCTCTAATTCTGAGAATTTAACAACGTGAGGAGTTTACACTCTAGTTACACAGGATTTGTATTTGAAGGCTAATTCTGATAATTTTGACACTTAATATCTTCAAACCTGCATTATTTTACATTTGGCCACTTGGGGGCAGCATCACAGCCTGTCAACATTACACTGACATATTATCACCATAGAAAATCGGTGAATGGGTTACCAATTTACACATCTGGTCACCTGAAAGAACTAAGTTCAATATCCACTCTCCTTTCAGCTCTTTAGTCTTTAATCTTTAGTCAGTATATGTGTCCTTAACTGTTACATGCATTGCTTTGTTTACCAGACCGTCACTAACCATACATAAGGGTCTTAAAGAGACAGGCACTGAAACGGAGCGTTTCAGACAGAGGACGAATACAGACAGACAGTATAATAAATATAAAGTGTTCTTTCTTTACTTTAAAGCATGTACATATGTTACAGTAGAAACCCAAAATACATGTATGAACATAAAAATGAGCATGATATGTCCCCTTTAAAGAAAGTAGAATTATGATACAGAAAATATGATTTAACAGTTAAGTTTAGGAATACAATTATTAAAAAAGCAATCAGTACATTTCACAAGCTTAATTCTTTTGAGTTGCACTGGAGTGATTAACTATTAATAATTAGTTATTAATTCAATATTAGTATTTCTAAAATCCCTGAGTACAGTCAGTCACATCTTTGATTCCGATCCGCCGACAGCTCCTGTGTGTTTTCTGGTTTACGGTCTTCAACCAGTCTACAAAAATCAAACATGTTGTGTTACATTCACCTCTATACATTTTAGATTACTCTCTGACAGCTGATTTTGCTGTTAAAGAAATAAGTCCAATTGACAGATGCCTTTATTGTACATACAATACAAATCATCTCTCAGAAATGGTAAGTGATCAAATGATCACTGACAAGCAATTTAACTCATGCGATTTAAAAATAGTTTCTGCTGCTTTATTTATTGACTGGTTCACTTACAAATCTGACCGTGCTGGCCCACAGGAAATGTAAAAGCAGTGACCACACTAGTGCTGCCAGTACCTCCTTATTGATTTTTCCGTAGGTGAAATGCATCAACAGCAAAAGCATTACGGAAATAACACTCTGTGGGGAAACAAACGAATGGTTGGCCTTTTTCTAATCGATATACTCTGTGGCTTTCATTTCAACTCTGGCCGATGCATTTCTATCTGCGGGATTATGTATTGACCCTTTGTGAAGGGAGAGAATTACACAAACATGGCTAATGAGGTGATATTGATTGTGGCTGCTGTGACAGCTATTAATTAGAGATTGACTGGGAGCTGTGGCCATGTGCTGAGGTGGGTGGAAAGAAACGGTCTGCCTCGATCTGGTTGAACTCCCTCCTAGTCTGCATCCACCCACAGCCCTGTTGGGGAGCCTGTGTGTTCAAACCATCTCAACCCCGAAGGTTCAGTTATACATGCAAAGACTCAAGCGCTGTACGGTTACAGCGTGCAAGCTGATGTTGAACAACTGAGGCAGAGAGGAGATTTAAAGCTGATCAAGAGCAGCACATTACTGTTCTGACACTTGGCTTTTTGCAGCCTGCACACCATTCATCCATTATGTATGATTATAAAGCTATCCCTCAGAGGCTGCCGGTTAATGGGCCGCTGTGCAGAGCCGAGAAAGACATGATAACAGAAGATGGACGGGGCGAGGGGAGTGAATAACAGCATATACAGTACCCGCAAATGGTTTGCATGACAAATATTAAAATCAAAAGACACGGCATGCTGTATGTGCATGAAATGCTGAGGACAACCTGAGAGAGTTATGCACCAGTAGCATGCCTCTCCACTTGTCACAGACTCTCTGAAGGAAAAAGAAAGAAAGAATGCCACGCTGTCTGCACAGACACTACAGAGATCTGAGTCATCACAGTCCAGACAGTAAGCAACCCCCCACGCACACACACACACACAAAGCCCACATTTCCATGCTGACTCAATACTGCGACAATAACACATGTGAACATTACTTTACCAGCAGTTGTTCTGTCTGTCATGGTGCTGTGAATCTCACATCAAGAGCATGGTGTTCACACACAAGTGATGCAGGCAAGGACTGCAGCTCCCTGTAGGGGGGGAAGCCCCCTCCTAGATCTGAACCAACAAGTGCATTGTGCAAAATATCCCAATAAGGCTTCTAACGATTTACCTCCCAACATACATTTGGTCTGATTCAACATCATCTCAGTTTGTACTGGAGTGTATATTTACAAAGCCTCAAAATTGTCGCTGATATCAGTGAAAAAGTTGGGTTATGAAAATGTTCTTTTTCATAACCCAACAACTTTATCTTTCCATCTCTGCTATTGTGAATGCATGTCAGTGTTTTTGTTTTGTTTTTGCATTAATATGCAGAAAAGGTTGTAGGACCAACAAAATCTCAACAATTGGCAGTTTGTGCAACTTGAAATTAATAAATGAATGTAATTAATGGCCATGGAATTAAAGTTGATGCTGTGCACTCACCTGGAGGATATATGTTAGACATCATCATAGATTTTGAACTTATTCCATGCTGAAATGCTCCCTTTTGGGGCCATTTTTTTTACTCATATTTTATTTGTACAAACATTATGTAACTAATATAGGTTACTTTAACCCTCATCCAACATATTTACAATGCAAGGACTACCAATCCCCACAATAAACTACTGTAAGAAACAGCCATCAAAATGATAACTCTTGTCCTCTCAGTTATGTAAATAATGTCATCTGCATATAAAACAAGCAGATTATTATAATTTTAGGGTATTAATGTTAAATATAAAATGCAGGAGATTACCATGTACAAGGTAATGATGTGAATACAGCACATCAGCGAGAAAAACTACGACAAGGAGCCTTTAAATAGAAATGGAAATGAGAAAAAAAAACTAGTAATGTGTACATGACTTGTTGAAATATTGAACTGCATTCAAAAAGTTACATTTTTGGAACGAGCAAAGCTCTTAACGTCATGAAAACTGTCTCAATGGATGTCACAGCATTAGATAACTCATGGACTCTCACGTTTTCAATAGGCACTACATGCTTTCACACACTTTGCCTTTAAACGGTGTCTTTGAACTCTGCAGCATGACTTAAAGACACAAGAGACAAAATGATCTTTGCATCACCTTTGAAGGATGAGCACGAACATTCTGTGTTTTTCTATATCTGTACAGATATAGAAAAAACAAACAATCTGCATATAGGAACAAGACCAACATTTCCCGCTTGCAGGACTTGTCAGCTCTTGTATTTCAGTGGAAATAGCTTCTCTCCAAGGATCACAGACTGACACGTCTTAAGTTGTCACCGGAAGGCTGAGGTGGCCTAGAAAACGGAGCGATGCGGGTGGCTGTCCCTGGAGGCCGGCTGTTTCTCCCTCTATTTCACTGCACTTGACAGTTTTTGTCTCTGAAATGCATTGGGGGCAGGCGGGCAGGAAGCACACGCCAGCGGCTCAGATGAGACCACGTTCGACCAACATTTGCCAAATGTCTCAAAGACAAACAGCAGAGAGCTCGAGTCAGAATGGTGTAATGACGTAGCCGCAGGGAGGCACTTTGAAACACTTGAGCCAGCCGGGTAATGTGCTTTCTATCAATTATCTAACTGTGGACCTTAAATGTGGGTTCCCGAGACCTCCACGTGTCCTTGAGGGGCTTCCCTAGCAGCAGAGTTTAATTTTACTTATGAGGAAAGCCACAGTGGACTTCACCTAATTTCACTCACATCAAACATGTTACATAATGTTCTTCAACATCTCCCGAGATGAGGAGAACCAGGGCAGCAGCGCCATGTCATATGCAGCTCTATGATTTTATGTAATCCAAGTGTTCTGTGGTACCCCGAAGAAGGACTAAGGAAACAGTGAATGACTCATGTCATAAGGCGATACTAAAGTTTTGCAGCCGCAGATACAGTCTCTTTTTAATGTGACTGGCTATACCAGCACGATGTATTATGGATGTGGTTGCTACAGCAACGAGGATCAGGAGGATGGTTGAGCCGTCGAGCATCAAGTGACTTTATGATTCTGTGTGGAAAAGCCTTTAACAGTGATTCCTGCAAATTGCCACCAATCGATGTGCGAAATGAAGGTCAAATGATAAAGTAGAATATGCTGTGAATGAATCAGTCGCATCGCCGCTTATCTACAGCTGACATCTGAATGTATACAGATAGAAGCTACTGCGTAAACAGACCCGGGGGGTCGATTCCCAGTTGGAGACCAGAGTGAGGAGGGATTTCCCAGAAGCTTACCTGGATGTGCAGCGGCTTTCTGAAGAGCCCCCATGGAAACAGACCTCTTGCCATGGCAAATGGAGAACATCTCACACAGGCTGTCGAGGAAGGAAATTCGGCGCACGCTTCGCGCGGTGTCGGGCAACGCCTATAGGACGAACCCTGGACATTTTTCGAGTATGAGACATTACTAATTCTGTCGGCAGCACCGTGAATGATGCGTGTTTGGAGGCGGCGACGCGCGGCGGCGCCAGACCGAGCTGCGCCGTCGACTGCAGCGAAGTGAGGCTCATATTGGCCGCGATCACTCCTCGGGGCGTTTTGACCAATTACAGGAGGAGGATGGGGAACAGTTTGTAGCCTTCAGTATATATGTTTTAATGTAAAAAGATGGATGCTGAGTACAGGCACGCTGGGGCTCCTCCAACAACAAGCTTGAGCCTTCATATGAAGATCTGTTTTCCATAGCAGATTTGTTTATGTTTAGGTGACAGACAATTTGTTTGTGTTTTTGTATAAATTACATAGCATTCACGAGTGTGTGAAAACCACATGTGTGTTTTGCTTATTTTATATGTGAAAATATATATTTATTTTAGTGTGATTTCATATGTGAATTTAAAACACGTAAGACAAATGAGCTTCACAATAAATTGCTTCATGCAGAAAATCACATTTCATTAAACACTTCATTAAAGCTGCACTAAGCAACATGTTTGTATGGATCTGGGTGAATACTGGATTCTGATTGGCTGCAGAGTGTACCTTCATTTCTGGTAGTAGAGACCCCACTGTCTGTTCACCATTCTAAATAAATGCGCTGGCTGCAAAACACACCAGGCCCTGGTTAAGTGCGGCTAGCGGCAATAATTACATTTTTCTGCGACCAGGAGGTGTGTTCATGTATTTCATGCAGGAAGAAACTATTTAGGTCGACATGTCACAGGACTCTGTTCACTGATTGGCTGTGGGTACTCTCTGGCCGCAGTTTGCAACTAAAAGTTAAACCATCCCCAACTTTTAGTTTGGCCGCAGAATCCAAATGGCAGCGGCTCGCTGAGCTCAGAGCGGCTGCCGCAGCTTTCCATTGGCACTGCATGGCAGCTTGCCGCTGGCCTCACTTCGCCCGCTGCTCTGTTGTGTTTTCGGTGTCTAGGTCCTTCACCCATAGTGCCTAGCTGTACCATTATCACCATACTCTGCGGTTCTTCTCACCTCCAGAGCTTTCTAGTGTCTTTCAGCTCATTGTTTTGCTTTTGTGGTCCACAACTGTACCATTTTGGTTCAGTCTCAAATCTCATATCAGTCCCGAGGAACATATAGTGGCAGCTAAAGAGCCATATTACCCTAAAGAAATGGTGGAGACCAAAGCAGAGATAACGTTTTTTTTGTTTTACTGTTTAATAGGCAGTTACTAACATTCACCAACTCTGTATGTTTAAATATGTCACAAATAAATGTATTAATGTTAGACCCAATGGCGAGCTTACCTAAGCCAAACAGAACTTTGACCATTTTACAATACTGTCTTAATACATTACCACAATATATTAAAACAAATGGCCGACAAATGTTACCTCAATTTCCATGAAAACTTGCCTCGGGGAAGATTCCTTGCTGGTTTGAATAAAAAAGAAGACATAAAAAGACAGATGTCTTCAGGCTTTCTTCATGGACAAGTCTCCCAGCTGAGAGGGAAGCTTGTGTCCGGTTGAGGATGGAGAATACGAAGCTGTTGGCTGCATTACCTCAGCGAGATCATGACTCCCTTCATCCTTTTTGTGATATATATTGTATTACTCATTGCATCTCATTGGGATTAGCTTGTATTGAATGCATGTGTTTTCTTCCGTCACTAAATCATAATAGTGGGGGAGCAGAGGGAACAGCCATAGAGCATCCTCTTCTTTATGTGCTCGGATGGAGATTTGCATATTAATGTGACATGTGAAAAGCATAAATATCATATTACTTTGTCTGTAATTTTGCACTGACGCTACCTGAAATGTGTTAAGATTTCTAAAATCTGTACTTGATTCTGCAGTGGCATGTGAGATCTCCTGCTGGCATCCTACAAAGGAAGACATACAAGACTGTTCGAGTGCTCTGAAGGAATGCACCAGCAAACAGGTAATGGACACACAGTTATAAAGCACACCAGCAGGTGCAGCATGATGCACATTATCATCCATCAAAACAGACAAACTTTCTACAATTGCATGTCGTGGAAAAGGCATTGCCGAGTGCGAAAGCACAAACGCAATATGTCTTTACAGTTAGAAATGAAAGAGATTTGATTTGCTCAAGACTAAAGAGCACATGCAGCGCAACAGAGCTGGGATAGCCACACCGCTAAATTCTTTATAGAGAGAACATTTGGGAAGACCGAAACAAAGCTGGCATCTCTGCCTGGTATATTGGATTCACTGGGAGAGCAGATTGGAGATTGGAGGAGAGTTATATGAGCCCAGAGGACAGACACTGGATGCACATATGGTGTTTCCTTCGATTATGTAATGCTGATTACCTTGAGGCACTTTGAGTGGGCAGATAAAAAAAAAAAAATCTATTTCCATATAAGAACAAACAAACAACAACCTTGACGCAGAGAGGAAGGCAGAAGTGGCACCACTGGAGTGGTGCAGATAGAAATACTGAGATAGATGGGCTTCAGAAATAGTCCTCTTTGGATGCCTGACAAGTATAGATAATCACGCACAATGTCTAATGTAATGAAGGCCTTCTCCACAAACATAACCTTTCAGATTAATCAATACTGGAGAACATCCACAGAGATTTCCACGCCTAAATTCAGTTTACCTTGCATTAATCCCTGTTTAGTCTTGCAGCCCACACCTGCTCATTTCCTCTTCGTACTGACATCCGTCACAAGCCAATAAGTAACCGTGGTAACAAGTGACAGGACGCTTCCTGTCACACAGCCTGCCAGAAATAATTTCTGATTTGGATCTGTTTGTACCTGCGCTGCAGATTATCCTTAATAGAGATGGCGAGGACAGTCGATGTGTGAGGTTGATTTCTCATTTTAAAGTGGATGTTAAAATGATTCTCAAAAGAGAAATGTTACTTTATTAAAAGCGTTTTGCTGAGAGAGAGCAGGCAGACTCATGGGAAATAACTGGTGTTAGCCTCCCCCCTCATGGTGACTCTCCTGTATTACAATTGTACAGCTGTGTCTAGCTTGGTACAAAATACATGGATATTCAGAATGGGAGGGAGTGTGTTCATGAGCTATAAGGATGTAAGATTACACCAAGATTATAGTTCTTTTTTCTGCACAGGCAAGTCTTTTTCAGTCATTCTAACCAGAAGAGGTCCAGTGAAGAGCAAAGTAAGATTGTCAGACTTTTAAAGAGTACGTTTGGTGACATTCCGTATTGTTAGGATTGTCAGCGTATCCACAGCCTGACCTATCGTACTGCTCTGTGCGTTAGAGCGCCATTGAAAACACATGAATGAGCCACACTTTGGACTGGCTGACTTGCTAATTGCTGGAGTTCATTTTGAATTAAAGGGCCAGTATGTAGCATTTCGGGATACGCAATATAATATTCATAACTATGTTTTCATTTGCATAATCACCTGAAATTAGGAATTGTTGTGTTCTCGTTAGCTTAGAATGACCCCTTCACATCTACATGGGAATAAACCATGTTGCACTGCCATGTTCCTAGCCCAGAACGGACAAAACACTGACTCTAGAGAGGGCCTTTTGCATTTTTACGTTATACCTTTAATGCCGTCTAAATTCCATAGCTCCTTAAATAGTGTTATTATGGAAAGGATGTGGAATGAGACAGCACAAATTATAATTAGAGTGACCCTTTTATCTCCCACTCTTTTCCCTCTAATGTGAAGGATTTTGGAGACCACAACTTGGGACAGTTGAACTGTTGACAGCCGATTTAAGCATCAAATGATTAGATTAACACGACTACTCCTGACCTATAAGTAGGTCTATCATCTTTAACCACGGTAACAAATACACGACGCACAACGCAGTGCAGCGTGCCACATGGCCAGGCTTGTGGACACTGCGAGATCAACAATGCTAAATGCACTTTCTGATCATGTGCATGTTCAGAGATTTTTGCAACACAATCGCTTCATTGTAGTGAATCAAAAGTCTAACTCAGCAGCCTTTAATGGGGCGTTCCTCCAACTGGGTTACCCCGAAGGGAAGAGGTCTCACTTGGTAAACTCCCTGTTTTAAAAAGACATTGCGTTCTTGTTCGGATGAGTAGAAATGTGACCGTTGCTCAGCAAAATGTTATCAGTTTTACTGATAATGTTTCACTGTTTTGAAATTGAATTTGCATTGCATCATCCTCAGTTTCTTAAGGTTGGGGTTTAGGTTGTTAAAATAAATGTGATTTTGTTTTTGTTTCTGCATGTGGCCAGCCTGGAGGAAGGGGGTGGAGACGGAGGCCGCGCTAGTCACGCTGCAGGAATAACCATAGACTCTATATAAGAACAAATGAAGCCACAGGAAGCCCAGGAGGAGAGGGACCTTCTTGCAGGCGACATGTGGCTATAAGTATTAACAGCATAGGAAAATTGAAAACTTGAATTACACATTAAACAAGAACGTAATTTGTCACGAATCAGCTTATATCTATGTCTAATCACTGCAATCAGGAGCTATTGATTGGCTCTGGAGACGTGTGCATATAAGACAGAGGGGGAGCTGGAGAACGAGACAGCAGATGGGCGCCAGCAACACGGTTCTCACCTGTCTAGTGTGCAGCATGCGCAGGATGTGATGGCTCTCTGTTGGTATTTATGCAAATGTTGACACCATAACTGAGGCGAGCAGCAAGATTGCCAGGTAACACTTTGCCTCAGGGAGAGGCCACCTAGCACTGGGCCCTCAGGAGAAAACCTTACGAACAGATTTAAGTCATTGTTTGTAGAGAGAGAAGGGGAGAACATTAAAGACACAATCTGTAATGTAACTGAATGAAGAGGTCTGGACTAACAATAGGCCATGATGGAAGCTTTGTTGTTCATGTTTTATGAGGCAGTTTGAGGTTTATTTACATTGATAATGATTGTAAACATCAATGTAAAACAGCAACCACTGAAATCTGAAAATGTAGGTGATAAATAAATACTCAACAGGTAAATGTAATTCGATACTTATGCCACTGTCAGATATCATTTTAGGTTTTTAAAAATACCGTTAACTTTGGGTCATTTCCCCTCAGTCTCTCTAACTGTATGGGCAAATCAATGCAGCAAAAGTTCAATTAATGCGGAGGTATTGCCATCTATGTCCGCCCTAACATTGTCATGGCAAATTGTCCTATGCTACTATGTTACTCCATTAAGAAATCTAATATCATTGCATAAATGCTCTTCTGTTGGCATAACATTCAATTCAAGATATTGAAGGCCACATTTACTTGGCATGATTGGAGATTTGTGAGGCCCCTCCCACTGTCTTGGAGGATGTCCTGGACAACCTCAGCAGGCAGTTGGCTGACAAGCGAGAGTCATCAGTTTGATTAAGCTCATCAGGGCCTTCTGGACTGCAAAAGCTGGTCCATGTGTGCTTGCTGTCCACTTTTCCTTCCTACAGCTGACATCCACCCTGCAACACATCTACAGCACACATGACAAATAAATTTAATTGAATTTGAGTGGCTGAGTTGAATACATTGTGTTGGTTTTAAATGTAATCGTGCGAGGACTCCTTCAATGTCACAAATCCTCATCCGGGACACCATCCCGTCAGGTAAGGTTACATTCAGACTTAGTGTGACAAAGGAGGCTTGATAATTGTCACATTCAACCAAGCTAGTTTGTGATGTTTGAAATGTAGGAGGTATGTTGTGGTCACTGATTGAGAGCAGAGAGAGACTGAAAAAGTACAAAACACTCTGAATCTTGGCTCAAATCAGACACAACAAAGTCTCCATTGATGCCCTACTGTGCCTCTAATCCCACCTCAAGGCCTCGCATGATGTGCCCACACAACGCTGGAGCCCAAACAGCAAAGACAAGAGGGGCCATGATCCACAAAGGAACCTGAGAAAGACTGGAAGCATATGGCGCGTGAGTAAGAGGCTCTGCTGCCAATAATTAGCAAAAGTATGGGCATGAATTGCAATTTCCATTTTCTCCCAATAAGAATGATTGTTTTTCATTCAGTGTCCTTTTGGGTTTTTTGTTATTATTAGGGACACATTTCAGGAGCCACTTTTGTTGGTTGGGGAGTGTTTGGCACATTCAAAATAATTTTCTTGTGTTTATTTTGAATTATTAATTTATATTAATGTTGTATATTATTATGAAAGGTACATTGTCGGTTGCTGTTTGTAAAAATAGCATTCAAACTGCGCACCTCCTCTCTGGCTCTATGGAGAGAGGGAGAGAGAGAGAGAGAGAGAGAGAGAGAGAGAGAGAGAGAGAGAGAGAG